TGACAGCTTTACTTCGGAACCCCCATGTGCTTGCCGGGGTGAGACGACTCCCAACTACATGTTCTTACGAGCCTGTATGCGCTATCCCCATGTGCACGCCCGCGCGAGACGACTTTTGAGAAACACGTCCATGCATATCTGGAGTAGGGATTGGCGTTTCGGTTGGGTTTTCAATGTCGCCACACAAGTGGCTCCCAGGCTGTACTTCGGAATCCCCATGTGCTTGCCCGGGTGAGATGACTTCCAACTACATGTTCTTACGAGCCTGTATGCGCTATCCCCATGTGCACGCCCGCGCGAGACGACTTTTGAGAAACACGTCCATGCATATCTGGAGTAGGGATTGGCGTTTCGGTTGGGTTTTCAATGTCGCCACACAAGTGGCTCCCAGGCTGTACTTCGGAATCCCCATGTGCTTGCCCGGGTGAGATGACTTCCAACTACATGTTCTTACGAGCCTGTATGCGCTATCCCCATGTGCACGCCCGCGCGAGACGACTTTTGAGAAACACGTCCATGCATATCTGGAGTAGGGATTGGCGTTTTGGTTGGGTTTTCAATGTCGCCACACAAGTGGCTCCCAGGCTGTACTTCGGAATCCCCATGTGCTTGCCCGGGTGAGATGACTTCCTACTACATGTTCTTACGAGCCTGTATGCGCTATCCCCATGTGCACGCCTGCGCGAGACGACTTTTGAGAAACACGTCCATGCATATCTGGAGTAGGGATTGGCGTTTTGGTTGGGTCTTCAATGTCGCCACACAAGTGGCTCCCAGGCTGTACTTCGGAATCCCCATGTGCTTGCCCGGGTGAGATGGCTTCCAACTACAGGTTCTTACGAGCCTGTATGCGCTATCCCCATGTGCACGCCCGCGCGAGACGACTTTACACAAGATGGGACGACTTAAGCCTACCACTAGTAGTAGTCGTTGTCGTCGTAATACAGATGAAAACACCAAGGGAACAGTAGCATCGACACTTGCTCGCAGTGCCACCCCACTGAATGCACGGCTGATCACGGCTGCACCCTTACCTTTGTTGCACGATGGTCGACACTGATTATATAGGACCAAACCAGCAGTACTAGTCGTGCTAGCAGTACTAATATTGATGATGGCGTCACGAAAGTAGTGTACCTACCGAGTAACATGGATGCATTTTTTTCCACCTCTCACCCTTTTGCACCTGCCAAGAGTGTCCGCATCTCTAGGAGCTCCTACGGGAGGCGCAGTCCGGGGAGGCGTCGGCGAGGACTTCGTGCAGGTCGGGCACGGGTCAGTTGAGCGCTGGACTGCGACGGCCCAGGAGTCCGGACCAGCGCGCAAAACAGGCGGTGCTAGCGGCCGGTCTGGACGGAGTAGGGGACAGACTGGCCCGGTGTCGCGCGAGCAGGCGCAGGAGCTGCACCGTTTCGGTGCCGAACCTGCCGCCAACCTCGATGCCGACGACGAGGAGCCACAGCAGGCTGGCGACGCAGGTGGTGGGGCTTCTTGAGCTGTGCGCAGCAGCGCGCCCTGGCATCCACACTGTAGGGTGGCACCTGTAGCGATGGGCAGCCGACACTCGGCGAAGTCCTCGAGCTGGCCGAGCCTGCGCTACCTTCCTTGCTGTCGCTGCGTGCCCCGTATGTAACTGCACGCCCGGCGCCGCTCGTAGCGACAGTAGCCGACCGACCTGACCACTTCTTCGCAGACGGAAAAAGGTGCGAACAAAAAAACAAAAACTGAGTTAAGCTCTTGGTGGGCGGCTCGCTTGCGTTGCTCGGCAGCCCGCAGCATGTCACAAAGCATCGACCGCGCTCGCAAGAGGCGGTGGAGGAGGTCGTGGGCCTCGTTGCACCAGCGGCCGCCGACCTCGCATGCCAGCACCACGAGGCGCTGCGGCCCGTGCCGAGCGAGTTCTGGGTACCGCGCGAGCTTGCGGCGCCGTGCGACTTCGATAGCTCGAGCGGAGGAAGGTTCGTCGCATTACAGATATCGGGGCCATGGAACGACGCAGCTCCGTTGTCTGCGGCAAGTTGGACGTGGCATGCGTCTCAACGGGCCCGGCTAGCGCCACCATGCGCCAGCGACAGGGCCTAGCGCGACCGTGTGTTCAACTTCGCTCAAGCAGCATGGCCGCGCCGATTCCCACTGCGCGGGCGACGGTCGGGCCGTAGGCTTGCTTAGGCTAGTTAAAATACAATGGGTCGACGCCGCTGGGCCCGGGTTGGGCCCCGCATCGGGCAGGCCGAAACGTCGTGCGAAGATATGTTGCTGCCACACACTCCATCCAACGACGACATGCGACGACAACAACTACGACCACTGACAATACAACAACTACTATTACGACAACGACGACGACAACGACAATGACGTTCTTGTCCCGTCTTTGTTGTCCTTTTCTGCGGCAACAGGAAGCACGAGGAGAATGCCGTGTTCAACACACTTGAGCTCCAACTGTCGCCGCACGAACGCATTGCTTTTGAGCGGGTGCTACAACTGCCACTAAGTGTGGTTTTCCACACATTTTTTTAAACGTCTGCCCGAAAGTGTCCGTGTCGAAACGTCGTATACACTACTACGGACGCTGTGGCAGTTTGCGGGGCGCGTCCTGGCAGAGAATCGGCACCAGGGACGGGTCGGCCAGCATGAGTCAGGGAGGAGTGCGTCGCAGCACAAGGCTTCGCCGTTGCTCCGTAAACTACGAGGTCGTCGGCGTGAACCTTTTTTTTTTTCCCGGATAGATCCCCCGGTTCTGACGGTTTGTGCAAGGTTTACGGGGTCTTGCCGAGGTGGGCGGGACACCGGGGGCGGCACTAAGGCACCTTCCGCCGATGAGCACCCCCCCCTCGCCCGTATTCCTTCCGTCAGGGCGACAGTGCCACACCTCATTCTTACTCTTAATCCTCCTCCTTTCACTTCCTTCGTTCACTAGCTCATTCAATTCGCACGTCCTCGCCTTGCCCTATTGCCATGCTCGCTCGTGCCCCCGCTCCTCCTCCTCCTCACCCTGTTGTCCTGTGAGGTCAGTCATCTCGTCTTGATCGGACATGCACATGTTGACCGCTGTGCCTGATGCATTGTCTGGAGCTTGTAGTCGCAAACCCACGTACCGGGATCCTCTTTCCTTCTCAAGTCTTGGATACATTGCCTCACGTTTTTACTTTTCGTCGACTTCGCTCCGTGGCCGCAATGGACCCATCTTGGCAAGAGGATGCCCGCCGCGCGGTGCGCATGGGGCTGTTACTTGCCGAGCGCAGCATCCACGCGCTGCTCCCGGTCCCTCCGGCCGGCCTTGCAGAGGCTGATGCCGGCCATCCATCTACTGGCACGGCAGCGCCATTGTCAGCTCCGCAGGCCCTGCGCCCCTCAACACCAGCAGGTCTTCCTCGCCCTCCACGCTGGCCGGTTCGGGCCCCTTCACCACTGGAGCCTGACAACCCGGGGCTCAGCCCACGGCCAGCGGTATGTAGAGCTGACAGCCGCAATCCTCTCCGTGTTCGTCCTCAGCGTGCTCGGGTTCGTGGAGTAACACGGGCGGGTCTGGCCAGCGCCCACACTGGGCATCCTTCTGCTCGTGCTCGTCCCGTCCCGCATCCACACCCAGTGCGTGCTGATCCCGACCGCTATCGTCCTGCACCTCCCAGACTCGCTACGGGAGCCATTGGTGCAGCTACGCTTGACGGCATCAATCGGGACATCGCTGGTGGTCCTCCATCACCTCGTGCTCGAGCTGGCTCCGGTCCACCTCCGGCACGGTCCCGTATGCCATCGTCTCGCACTTCGCTTTCGCGTGGAGGCCGTGGCCCCTCTCGCTCGCGCAGTGTCCGCCGGACACCGAACACCAGGGCCACACCTTCCAAACCAGGGCTGATGCCAAAGAGGGCGGCTCGCCCGTCCAATGGTGGCCACGCTTCCCGGAATTCTGGCACTCCAAGCCGGCCAGCACCGCTCACCGTATTTCGGTCACATGCGGCACCTGCCGGGACGACCCTCAAAGGCAAGGCCAAGGGAAAGCGTGCGATTCACACCACCTCGGTTAGCCCTCCCTCGCCGGCCACTGTGCAGTTTGCGGCCTCGCCCAAGTTGCGCTTGCCGGCAGGGCTACACATCGTCGGCTTACCCCGGCGCCCCAACCTCAGCCAACTGGAAGCCTTGTTGAGCCATGTGGCGGAGCTCTCGCCTTCACTCGCTGGTTTAGAGCCCAGCTTCCAGCTCGCACAAACCAGGCGAAGCTCCCACAAGATACCGCGGCGTTCTTCCTGTCGCACGCCGCGTTCGCCATACCAGGTCTTGCCGGCCGCATCTTGGAAGAGATCCAGCCAGCAGCGGGAAAGGATAAGCGAGGTCGCACCAAGCTGGCCTCTCCGGTAGGTACCCTCAAAATTTCGCTCGCCCAGCAAGCCGTGCCACCAGCGCTACCTGCCCCAATTGACGACCTGACAGGGAACGTCGCCCCAACCAACCCAACCTCTTCGTGCCCAGCTACGGAACCCAACCCACCCGACGGCTCTGGACCTTCCATCTTCAAAGGACTCCGCCTGGTCGAGTTCACAGCGGGCACATTGGAGGAGGGCTGGACATGTGTTTGTTGCCGGGGTGACATCCTCGCGTGTGACAAGCTGGTGCGGCTGGAGTGCCTCCACGTCGTACACTCTGACTGCCTCGAGCGTTGGCTTGAAGCACCTCGCTCTCGGGGCCGTTGCCCGGAGTGTAGTGAGATGGTGCTCTGAGTGCGGCCGGGCCCTCTCTGCCATCGAGCATGGCTTTTCTCAGAAACTTGAGGCCGCAGTTGTATAGGTTCTCCCGCCTCTCGCAATTTGTTTTTTCGGTTCACCCCGCTCCGCATTGCAGGTCCTTACCGCAGAAAGGCGTTCTTCCGCAGTAGCCCGCCTTCCGTAGGCAACGGTGCTGTTTTCAATGCCTCTATGCACCAGTAGTAGCGCATGCTGCGCCCGTCCGGCGGGCCTTTAGGCTCCAAACTCGCCCAGCAGCAGGGCACCCACTCCTCGAGCATGGATCTTCTTGACGATGGCGGGAGCTCCTCCTCATCTGGCGCCGACACACCTCGCCACGAGGTGGATGGTGCTGAGGCGCGCTTGCGCCTCGACGTGGGGCAACGCCATCCCATGCCAGACATCGTCGGGCAATGCCTCGGGGATGACATCACGTGGAAAGGCTCCAAAACTCTTCGGATCGCGACAATCCAGTGTGGCAGCACGGGTCGAGATCGATTCCAGTGGGGCCTATGGCATGGTCAAGGTCTGCGCACCCTGGGGGCTGATGTCGGAATTCTGTCGGAAACTGCCCTCCAAGGAGATGCACAACATGCCCAGGCCTGCCAAGGCCTCCTCTCGTGCGGTTACCACGCTGTCAGTCACGGACGTCCTCGCAACGGCCCTGCAGACTATGCAGCTGCTGGGTCAGGTGTCATCCTCGCCGTCCGTTCAGGTTACTCGGGTAGCTGGACGGATGTAGCCAAAGACCCATCAGGTCGGGCTGTCTCGGCCGTCCTGCACACTAACAGTGGCATTGATGTTCGGTTTCTCGCGCTCTATGGTCCTGTCGGTGCTTGTCTCCCACAATTCGGCGTAGGAAGCCCGCAGCACATTGCGGATGAACAGGCCCTCAAAGACTTCATAGACCAACAAGCGCACAAAGCCGGTGAGCTGCAACAGCTGCTTGTGGTCGGAGGTGACCTCAACTCCTTTGCCGATGTTGATTTGGACAGCTGGGGAGGACATTATCTCGTACGCCAGTCAATAGCCTCCCACTGCGTCGGATGTGGTCTTCAGGACATGTTCAGGTCCCGTCATCCCCGCCTGAGAGCTTTTACCTTCTACTCTCAAGCCGGCTCTGCCAGCCGTCTTGATTCCATATGGTGGCTGCCCTGCCCACAAGTAGAAGTTCAGCTCCTCAACGCAGCCATCCTTTGGCAGTGGGACCGTAGAGTTGACCATGATCCGGTGCTAGTGGACCTCGCATTGCACCTGCCGGAGACGGCGATCTCCCAATCTATTACGCCACCGTGGCGCAGCTTAGTCCGTAGGCTGGATGGGGATCTTCCAACCTCCGTTGCAATGAGAGCCGAGGAGCACTCACACCAAATTGCCCAGCTTGCAGCTGAGTTGAACGCTCTCGAGTCCCAGTGGCATACGATCCAACAACCGGCTTCGGAAGGGTTGGACGGTTTCTTAGGGGCCCCAGCTCTCACGGTGCCTGATTGTTTTCAGGACCGTTTAATCGGTGCCGTGGATGGTGTCATGTCAGTGCTCCTTTCTTGCCTCCCCCCCGTGGCACCCCCTGTAAACAGGCGTGACTGCCGCGCTGCTGCGGCATGGCATGCGTGCCTCCTTGAACTCAAACGAGTCCGGCAGGCCATCAGGGATGCCATCCCTCGCCTCGGCCACGACCTCATCTTGTCGTGCTTCTCGCTTGACGAAGGGCACCGCCTCTGGCAAAAAGCTGCCGACATGGAAGCCCACCTGCAAGCCTCGGAAACGTCGCGGCCCGAGTTCCCCCTTCCAGACTGGGACGGATTCTCCACTGCTCGGGTTGCTTGGGCCACACGCCTTGGTTTTCCCCCTACCATCGCCGCTCTATCCGCCCCAACAACAGCACACCCCTCACGAACCCGCGAAACCCGCGCAGATCCGGCTCCATCAGCCCCGTCCTGGTCTTCACTCCCACCGTCCGCCCCTCCAGCTGGAGGCATTCAACTCCTAGACAATTGCATCGCGTACGCCGCAAGCCGTCAATCGGCGGCTACCCGAAGGAGCATCCGCTCCTCTCGCCAACAACGCATCTCTCTACTCAGGCGTGGCGATTCCAAAGCCTGGGCCTCTCGCATGAAACCGCCCTCCTTGCCACAGGCCCGGTATTCTCCTGAGTGGGTGACTGCCGGTGACGGCTCACGCCATCGCCCCGGCAGTGCTGCAGATGTGCTAGTCGGGGCCACTCAGGAATGGGCGAAGCTATTGCAAGAGCCGCCTCTAGCATGGCATCATGCCTCCTTGATGCCCTTCCTTGACTCCCGCTGTCAACCACGCGGAGCCATGCATTTCGTCAACATAGGCGATGCGCCCACCGGTCATGACACTCAACGCGTGGGGCAAGCCCTCCTCTCACCTGGTCCTTGGCGTTTGGTGCACTTCCAGGCCGCCGATGTAGGCTTCACTGTGGGCCTGGACTGCGTGCGGGTGGGGGAGTGGGTCCTATGCTGGAGGCCAGACGGCTGGTATGCATCTCGTCCCCAGCCCTGCCCGGGCCGCCTCTTCCGTGTAATGTCCTTGCGCGACATCCCCGCAGCACACATCACTCCAGATCATCTCAGCTGGCCTCCTCCTTCCAGTTTCCTGGTGATGCGCATTGCGGAGCCCCCGGCTTATGACCTAGTGGGCCGCACATCTCCCGCGGAGACTGCAGCTCTCACTTCTCGCTTTCGTCACTCCCGCCCAGGGCCAAGCGGTTCTGGCACGCTGTGGATTTGCAGCGCCTGACTGGTGTTGTCTCTGCTACTTTCCTGCGTGCAGACCAGCTCCACCTCCCTAAACCTTCCGGCGGATGGCGCCCACTCTCCATGATTGAGGAACACGTGAAAGCCATCGAAGCCCCGGTCGTTGAAAGGTTGGCCCTGTCTCGCACTTGTTGGTCCACGGACACCCCCTTCTCCGTGTTGAATCGGGCCTACACCAAGGGAGTGTCGGCTGCTACAGAAGTCCTCTACTTGGACTCGTTAGTGTGTGAGGACGCTCGTCGGCACCACCGTCCCCTTCTCCGCATTCCTGCCGACTATGAGAAGTTCTTTAACACTCTCAATCTACCGCAAATTGACGCTGTACAGCAAGGACGGGGTATCCCGGATGCAGTCCGCCGCCTCCATTGCTCGCTGTTCGGCAAGCTAAGGGTTACGCTGGACACGCGTTCAGGCCCTACTCAGCCCCTCGAGGTCACCCGCGGTGTGCCGCAGGGTGCAGTCTCTTCGCCTGAACTTTCGCGGACTGCCCAAGACCCCTTGCTCCGCCTCCGGGCATGTGACGGTGCTGCTTACACCACGAGCGCTGCCCGGCGTGTCCCTGCCGCTGGATATGTTGATGACATAGAGCACTATGGGGATGGCCTTCAGGATCTGCCAGCCATCCTGCAGTCTCTCGCTGTTACAGGTGTTGGTTTCGCTTGGTCCAAGTTCTCCGCTTTCGCGACGGACTGGGACGATACCTTACCCCGTCTGCAACACCCAGGCTTGAACGCAGCAGGTGCGTCCGTAGCCAGTTGGAACATCTGGGCCGGAGGCGTGCAGCGCTACAATCTCCCTCGCTCCCAAGCCGACCAAGTAGACGTCCTACTCGGCAAGAGAGGCACACCAATGGACCGGCATTCCCTAGCTTCCCAAGACCTCGTTGACAAGCTTGCGGCGGTCCGACAGCGCATCGCTTGCAAATGTTGTTCATGGGATGAAGGGTTGGCCATGATCCAAATGATCATTGGCGGGATTCTTGGCTATGCTCCGCTCATAGGCACACCGCCTCCTACAACGCTCCATCAGGGGGATGCAGCTCTGCACCGGCTGCTTCTGTCCAGTTTGGGCACTCGCATCACTGCTGAGCACGTCAGCGTGTCAGCATCGCGAAAAGTGGGTGGTTTAGGGGCTCCCCTGCTAACGGACCTTCTCGTAGCCGCAGTGGCAGCGGATCTTGTTAGTTTGCTCAACGGCACGGCGCCTGCTTCTCTTGTGGCGCGAGACACCCTTCGTCAAGCCCTCGTATGCTCGGCAGAGGAGCTGCCCAGACACGCTGGCACCCTAACCGATGCCATGAGGTTTCAAGCAGGGTATGGTTTTTACGTTAGTTTTGCCACTGACCGGTTCGTGGCCCGTGTGCTAGACAACCTCAACACTGTAGTGCCGCAGTCACTAGTGGGCAGCTTCGTGCCCGCAATGTTTGATGCTGCTGCTCGTTATTGTAGGTTTGGCTTGTTTGCTAACTCAATACGCTCCGCCTGGATGGATATCCTGCTCCAGCACGGCCCGCATGCGGCTTGGCACGACCCTGCCCTCTGGAGTCGCGCCTTGCCCCAGCACGCTCCCATTTCTCCGGCTGAATGTGCCAGAGCTGCCTCTCTTGCTTGTGCCCAGTCTCAACAAGACTGGACCACGGAGTGTTCCCTTTTCCACGTCACTCCTCCGGATTACATCGCCGAGCAGTGGTCAGAAGAAGCATGGGAGGACCCATAGAACTGGCGCTGCGACCCACGCTCCCGCCTGCTGCTGTCCATCTTGCCGACACCCGCGGATTCGGATGACCAGGCTCTCTATGGCGATGGCGGCTACTCAAAGCTATCCGGTGCCACTTTCGCTTGCCAAGCGCGTAGCTTCGGGCGGCTGGGGGGGTACTGGGACTCTTCAGCTTGGGTGTCCCCACAATTAGCATGCAAGCTCCCCCATCGCCTCGGATGGGAGTCCACCTCCATCCACACCGCCGAACTGCTCTCCCTGGTTTGTGCGTTACGCTTTCGCCGTAAAGACCAGTGGCACCTCCTAGTTTTCGACCGCAGTGCTCTGTTTTCCACTATGCGGGTCGCAGTCGCCGGTTCAGTTTCCAGACTTCTGTCCTCGCAGTGCTCTCCCTTGGTGGTGCTGCTCAAGCACGTTCTCGAAGAACTCCGGCACTCCTGGTCGGGCTCTGCACCCACACCTTCTTGGAAGCTGCATCAGCAGCGCTTTCCTCACCAGTGGAATATCCAACTGCCGGTTGACGGCCACCAGCGAGTATTCTCTCAAATTGCATTCGCTGAAGATGGTGTCGTAGGTGTAGACATTCGTAGCCACCAGACGGCCACTTCACTTCCCTTCCCTGTGTTAACGCAGGGCAATGAAGCACAGGATGCGGGCTGTTCGGCGCATACCCGCAGCACTGCGCCACCAGACGTGCGGTTGCCAACAGGCGGATCCTTCGCATGGGTTGACCTGGATGGCCGCATGGTTACTGGCCCCATTCGCCAATGCGTCCGCCAGGTGCAACGGGGTCAAAGTGAAGCCGCTTGGAGCGAGCGTCCCGTCCAGGGACTGTTGCCTCGAGTGGCCAACCAAGTATTCACTCCCTCACTCGACCCGTCTCTTCACACTCAATGCACCTTCCCCCCTGCGTGGTTGCGATGGGCTCTTCCAGGCGACCCCCTCCTCATAGACCTTTCAGCTGTTTCGTTTCGCTTGCACCGGGCCATCGGTGGAGCCTGGACGGAAAGGCTCCATGTTAGCCAGTCAGAATCACTCACGGCAAACACATGGGCGGAACAAGCAGGATGGCCCTCTGCCCGCACATGCCCACTGTGTGCATCTGCGCCTGGCACTCCGAGGCACGCTATCATGGGGTGCCCAGCGCTATCCCCCCTTGTCAACTCCCTACGGGATGACATTGAAGCGGAGCTCGCAGCGGGTGCAGGCCCGGATGCTCACCAGCAAGCCGCGGCTCGGTGGAGAGCTTCGCTGCGGCACACACCAGGCGGTATACCCGCTGACCCTGGCCCCGAAGCATCGCGACGTTGGCCAATCTTGACGGCTTGGCGCTGGTTCGTCTCCATTCCGCAGCGTGAAACCGCGCTCTTCCAGGATGTCAACGGCAGCAGTGCAACCGCATGCTCTCGGGAGACGGGGTCCGATCTTGTTTACCGCGGTATCTTCCCAAAAGCTTTGGGCGCTGCTATCTGCCACCTGTCCCCCCCCGAGTTGGAAGCGATGGCCAATCAAGAGCTGGAGCAACATGCCACCCTGCGGCAATCGTCGGCTCTCCAGTCTGAGCTTCGCATCCTGTCGGTGTCTAGGCGTAGGGCGCTCCCGGCCATCCAATTCACTCAGCGGCTTGTGCTAGGCTTGCGATATGTGCGGAGTGCCTATCAGGTACGCCTTTCGGCGTTCATCCATCTTGCAGGCATATCTCTCGCCGATCCAACCCCTCCCGGAGAGGGGGATCAAGCTCCACATGCACAGATCCACCCCCCTACTCGTGATTTGCAGCGCTGGCTAGCATCTCCTCCAGGCATTGCTCTCGTGCGAGAAATCCGCTGGGCTCTCCATCCTTGTGAAGTGGCAGTGCGACGACTGCGAGCAGCAGCAGCAGCAGCACCCTGCCAGCGTGTGCGCGAACCAGCCTTAGCGCAAGCGCTACTGGACTCCGGCGGGGCCTTCCTTGTCGCCGGAAATGCTCACTGGGGCCTACCGTGGCCAACTTGGTCGGATGCAGTCGCCGCCCTTGCAGTGCCCTGCCGCTGTTCACCTCCTGCACACCTTGATTGCATAGTAGCTTGCTGGACCTGTAGAGGTGCTTGCCTCCCTTCCTGGGACTCGCCGGCCAACCCATGCCCTTGGTGTCGTGGCCAGGTTGGCCCAGTCTGTGCCTCATGCAACACGGTTGTACAATGTTGTACACAATCGGGGAAGCTGCCGCTGGAACTCCGGTGCGCACCCTTCCTACGTTGCAGCGGGTGACGTAAACATCCGTCTCTGTCCTGTCTGTTGGTGGGCGTGGGCTTCAAGTCTAGCTGCAGCTCCACGTCGACATCCCCCTCCTACGCTGGGCGCAAACCTTCTGCAGCACCTGCGCCACTCTATGCCACTCTGCATTGCACTGCAACCCGGGGGCTGGCTCCGGTGCAACTGCGGCATCGTCACTCCCAACTCGCAAAGTGCGACGGTGGCTCCTCCGGCAGTTGGAGGGTCGCGATCTAATCTCCATCGACTCTCTTCTCCAGGAACTGCGAGCTTGGGCTCCCACGGTTGCTGACGACTGGCCTCCCATCGTTCTGACGAGGGCCATCCGCGCTTTAAGTGCGGAGGGGCGCATAGTGGTCCGTAGGGATGCAGTCGAGCTGTTTCGCCCCCAGTCGTAAAAGAGGGTTTATGCATCTTGCACGCTGTTTGCATCGTCGCTCGTTGCTCCTGTCGTTTTCGGTTGCTTGTCGGTCCGGTTTTCTGGCCGTCCGGCTTTTTGTCCTTTGTTGCTGTCCCCATGCTTCTTGTCCCATCCGCTTCCATCCCCCCCCCGCCACCTCCAGTTTCCTTCCGCTTGTAGCCACGCCATAGTGCCTTCCTACCACACTCGGTTCAGTGCCTTGTTCTGCGTTAAACCTCCTACGTCTGGGCCGGCCAGAAATGAATGTGTGGCTTGCAGTGGGCTCGTGAGGTAGCCACTGCCGTGTCGTTCCAAGCACGGCACCATATTCACCCCATCTGCGCCGTTGTAGGTGCGGCCCTCACGTGCGATAAGCGGCTTGCCACCGTGCTTGGTTCTTCCCCGCTGTGTAGGGTGGCGGCCTACAGTACAGCCACGCCTCGCAGCTCGGCACTGCTGTTCGCTTCTCCATTTCGCTTTCCGTCGTTGTGTATCGCTCCGGCGCACTAGGTTCGGGTCACTCCCGTGCGACACATTGTTACAGCATCTTCCTCCTTCACTCGGGCTCTAGGGGAGTCGTTTCAGTATTTTCGGTATTGTCTACTTTGTGCAGCTTGGCTAGCTTACTTACCCGCCCTCTCGAACCCCTCGCGGAGAGCGGCGATGACGGCATCGGAGCTGCTCTGAGATGCTTGGGGGGAAGGGGGTTGACGGCCGCAGTAACATCTGTGGGCCACTTTCCTCCTCCTCCTTGTTTTTCCCGGACCTTTTTACAGCAGCAGTGTACGAAACGTCCCGGTGTGAGCTGCGTGCTACGACTACCTCTGCCGGCAGGGCCCAACGCAGTCGGCCTGAGGCTGTCAGCGCGCCTCAGCGAGGAGCTCGTGCAGCTCTGGCTCGGGCCCGCCCCCCAGGTCACCGGCGGGAGGCAACTCAAGGAGAGAGGCGGCCAGGGCGCGCTGCACGGCGACTGCGAGAAGGCCAGACCAACGCGCGACCCAGGCAGTGAACCTGCGGCCCTGTTGTGCGCGACAGCCACTGTTGCGGCACGACCCGACCGTGCGGACCGACCGCCTCGCGAGCGACCTGAAACCACGCCCCTTCAACGACGAAACCACGCCGGGGCTGCGGGCCCGTGCGGGGGCAAGCGAGGTGGCGGCCGCTGTATGGATGCCAGCTTGCACAGTATACTTGTCGGTCCCCGATGCTGCGCTTTGCATCGGCAGCCGCCACATGCACACTACTCATGCCGGCCGAAGGTTGCGGGCGAGCCCTCGATCCCGGCAGACTTACGATACGGCGTGCTGGAAGGGCAAGCCCTGGGCAGGCGCACGCGGAGCGGTGGTCACCGAAGTCGAGCTGCCCCCGACAGCTGCACAGCTGCGCGGCGCGAGCTGCAATGGGAGCCGCAAGCGGCGCCGCAGAAGAACGCGCAACAGCTCACCTTGTAACGTCGTCCCGCGTGCACGGGACGTCAAAGACACGGGAGTCGAAAGACCCAGCTTGGAACAGCAGCAGCCCTCGGGACGAGGTACTAATGCTAATGCCACACGTGCTAGCACGGATTAGCACGGTAATTGTAATTGGCACTGGCAGTGCGACGAAAACAAGTACAACAACAACTACGACGACGACTACTACGACTAGTGCCACCTACCACTACCACGACGACCCAGCGCACAAGCCCAAGGCCAACACACCACATGGCTGGCGAGAGGGGGCTGGGAAGGCGAGTGGCCGAGGATGTCGCTCAGAGGTGATAGCTCTGCCGGTAAGATGCCAGGACAGCAGGCTAACTGCTACTAGTACTACTGGTAGTACTAGTACTATAATACTAGTACCAACACTAGCAGTAATAGTAGTAGGTGTACCATGAGGCGAGCAAGCAAGCGTCCTCAAAGTAGTGGTAGTAGTAGGAGTAGTCGTAGTAGTCGTAGTAGTCGTAGTAGTAGTAGTAGGAGTAGTAACACTAGTAGTCGTACTAGTAGTACTAATATTAATAGTCGTGGTCGTAGTAGTAGTAGTAGTAGTAGTAGTAGTAGTTAGTCGTCGTCGTCGTCGTCGTAGTCGTCGTCGTTGTCGTCGTCGTAGTAGTAGTCGTAGCAGTCGTAGTAGTACGGTTGTGGTGGTAGTAAAGTAGTAATAGTTGTCATATTAGCAAAAAGCAGTATCATGCGTGAGAGCCTAAGCGTAGAAAAAGTAGTTCTAGTAACAAAACCAGAAATAGTGGTACTTGTCGTCGTCGTGATGGTGGCGGCGGTGTTGGGACGAGCAGGAGCAGCGCAGGTGGAGCAACAGTCGCAGCAGCAGGAGCAGTGGTAGCAGCAGAGGCAATGGTAGTATTGAGGAGGTGCATTCTTTACCTCATGCTAACAAGAACCCAAAAACAAGTTAAAGCAATTCAAAAAATGTGTGCGGCCCAGGGCAATGGGCCTGCCGGTTTGCTTGCGATGTGCTATGATATAGTCCCTGGCGGATGCTGCCAGGCAACAAGGGCTTTGTAAACAGTTGTTAACACGTCTGACTTTTTGAAGAACGCCCTGCTTCGAGCCTGCGTAATTACAGCGCCGCTGCGGCATCACTGATGTGTTGTAACCCACGGCCGGGCCCCGGGTCGGCGGCCTGCTTGCAACGTGGTCATTTTCCGGATTGTGGTTCGGAGTGCTGCCAGGGCAAAGGTCCGAAATGGTCCGAGTGGGTGTTGAGGAAGGGATGATTCTCTCATAACCGATGTTGATCGCCCAAGTTTCTGCAGCACCTATTTAAGTTGTGGAAAAGGCACCGGTGCGGAAACCAGCTCCGCTTCACACCTGGTAGTTCAATCGGCTATGACGTGGCGCTTGAGAGAAGAAGGGATCCATCTCTGAAGTGGTCCCTTTGGGGATTGTGGCTCGGAGTGTTGCCGTGCTCGGTCCTTGGCTTAACTTCAAAAAAAAACAGTCTGTCTTTTGATAAGCGGGCTAAGTAGAAATCCTATAGCTTGCCGCATCCCTCAACTTTTGGAGAAGACGCCCTGCTATAGAAAGCAGTTCTGCTTCTTGGACCAGGAAGGATCGATCTCGGATGAAGAGAGGGATTTCCTGTAAGCAGCTTTGCTTGTTGAGAGAAGGAAGGAAGCATGCAGGACGGATCCATTTTTGAAGAAATGAAGCACACTTGCTGCAGCAGCTGTTTGAGCCGTGCGCGCGGGGCCCCGGTCTTGCGGACTCAATCCCACCAGAATAAATTTCGTTAATAGGGTACCTGCTATGCTCCTTGGATAACTTTGCAAATTCGCGCTGTCGTGTACGTAGAGAACCGAAGACAACCGATGCCAAGCATATTGAGGTAGCACATGTCCTAACGCGGCCTTCTTTGCGACATGATTGGGAACGGCAGAACGGCGTTTTTTCCGTTTTGAACTGGTAGAGTGCTATTCAGTGACGACCCAAGCGGCACGGGCAAGCGCACGCAGATGGGCTGGGCTGGACCAGCTGCATCCTGGGTCTTCGTGAGCAGTGAGCAGTCGCAGGACCGTGGACTGTCCCCGGGGTTCCGCTTGACTTCTCGGCTCATGCTTGCATAACTCAGCGGCAGGTCTAGACCCTTGTACGTGCTCCTCAGCAGGAATTCTTCGGGCCCTAGTCGACCCCAAGTGGCTGCCGTGGAAAGATTCGTTTCTTGACACAGGTGTTTGCAGTTGCTGTCCTCAGCACGTGTTTTTTGGAACCTCCACCAGGCCACCAGACCAAGCCTGTGGCCTCAAGGGCGGGAGGCCCGGGTCTGATGAACTTTGTGACTTTTGTGGAATGGCTCCCAGGACTTGAAGGAGCCCGTCGAAGAGAGCAGGTGGGCATCCTTGCTACAGTCCACGCGAGGATCTCGTTTCTGGAATTCGAGGAGGGATATGCTCGCGGTTAGTCATCTACCCAGGCCATCTATGTAGCCACAGTCGACAGACACAACCTCGGCAACACTTACCGTGAGCTCAGCGACGCACACAACCGCCGACTCGTTGGTGTCGGCATCGAGGTCGGTGAAAGTTCGATGCTAACGCCGCGTCTAAGCGGTGAACCGATAGCGCTCAGGAAGAAGCGCTTTCATCCCCGCTCCCGACCGGACGAGTTGGGCTTGGAAATTAGGGCCTCGTGCGGCGCGACGGAGTAAAACGGCCAGCACTTCTTCACCGCCCTCTCCTTGCTGCCTCATGGGCTGCGGGTGTGAAACAACGGGGCTTGGAGCGCCGGCTGCGCAAGGAGCCCGACAAGCATGGATCCCCGGAACGTGGGCCTGCTGCAGATGCATGCAGATGCAACGCTGGCGACTGGGGATCCCATGGCAGGTCTGCTCTGCAGCAACAAGGATGAGTCCAAATGCCAAAAGCCCGAGCAGGCCTCTGCAACGCAGAGCCCTGCAAGATCTTCAAGGATTTCGGTAAACCGATGGTCAGATGCGCTAAGGCCAGGGGCGGCTTCGAAGTGCGACTGATCGAAACATCAAATAGCGCCGAGCTTTGATCGGCTGCGAAACTGGCACGACCAGATCCCAACTTGCAAAGCGCCCATGTTGCTCAGTGGCAAAGCACAGAGGGGAACAGCGAAGCACGCAAACGGCAGGTTGTGGAGCCAAGGCTGAAGCAAAGTTGGCGGGTCAGCCTGGCCTCCACTTCAGTGCATCGTCCAATACTGAATCAGCCTTCGTTTAATTTTTGCGTGGCGGCCAATAAGACTAACAAGCATGTGGGGCACTGCCGGAGCTTCAGAATCGTTCCGGGGAGCACTTTCAATTTTGGGATTGTTGGGTTGTAGAAGGGTTCGAGTGCCGTTGTTTTTTTGGCTGCGAGCTTGCGGGATGAGGTGGAGGATTGGATTGCACCTGGAAGCTGCAAATTCAAATCCGATGCAAGAAGGCGAACATCCTGGCACCCAAGCGCAAGTGCATACCGAACGAGACAGGGCGCCGCGGTCGTCAAACCGTTAAGCGCCGAGGTAGGCAAAGGGGGGTTCCGTCTGCACGGGGCCACGTGCACATAAACTTTCGCCATCGTGCAGTCCTCCGTTCACTTGAGGAAACTCGGCATTGTGAACAAACGCCGAGACTAATAATGCCAGCGAGACAGTCTTGCAACTGTTTCTGTCATTCTAACCGGGAGCACAGCTTGATGTGGGTGGGAACCGGCGGCGCAGACCTGACCTGGCGCCTGGCGATGCTGTGGTTCGGAGTACCTGCGTTCCACCGGGGAGCAGCCGGAGCATGGTTGGTTCCGAAGCCGTTTCGACTCTTGAGAGCCGGTGTAGATCGGAGGGCACGAGGGTTGGATCCAAAGCCTCCTCGACTCGACTTAACAGCCTTGGGCCTCAGTCTTTGGTGCACCAAGCGGATTCCTGCTTTGTCGTGCTTAAGCTGTAGTCTCATACGATCTTCCAATGACATTTGTTGCACAGATGTACAAGAAGCGCTAGATCACCCATCCCCTATAGGCCCTAGGCTAGAGGGGGCCAGTATGAGTAGAAGCAGTTGATCCGCTTCGGCATCTCCTTGTTTTGCTCCTGCACGGCTTCCGCAATTGTGCCATGGACAGTCTCCGTTCGCATCTCAGCGGTTGAGCGTACATGTATCTCTTCTCTTGCTGTGTGGCTGAGGTGCGAAAGCATGTCAGATTTTGCACGTCTTCGTCTGCAAACTTGGAAAATCAGCGACGGATGCATTTCGGAACACAGGAGCAATGTGCACACAGGCAGGTGGTGCTTTGCACAGAGGTCGCATGCAATGGACAACAGATTCACGACATGTTGAAGGGAAACCAAGATTAGGCAGATTAGTGATCAGCGTCATGATGGCCCTCACAGGCCAGCAGAGCTTCAGTCAGCTTCTCGTGCAGTTCCTCCAAATTGGCGCGCAGAATGCAAACAAAGTCGGTGACTGCTAAGTTCGGCCTGTCTGCTCTCGTACTTTGGCAGGTAGAGCTGGTTGGCACAGGCGCGGCTTCGGGGGAAGCGTCCTGCAAACTGAAACAAGCTCCAGTTAATTCAAGCATTCATGGAATGCGGGGGCGCCTGCTCCTGGGGAGGCCGTCAACTTCAGGCTAGCGAGGCCTCGGCAGGCCGTTTAAAGCTTGTGCCGGCTTCAAAAGACACTTTATCTGCAGAGCCTCCTGGTGGCAAACGCGGGCACGAAGTCGCGAAGTCGAGGAACCGGGCACGCAATGCCTTCGCACGACATCTGACAGCTTTAACCACCCTTCGGCTCAGCCCCTCAACCAAATTTTCCAAGCAAATCGGAGTCGGTGCCGTGAGTCTAGTGCAGTGACCGGAGAGTTGCCGTTCCGTTGGCAAATTGCAGCTCGTCGTCGAAAAATGAATCATCCAGTGTGCCAGTGCCGTGATCAACGACAAGCACCAAAGACTTGAAGCAGAATAGCTTTAACTTTTGCTTGAGATGGTGGCTAGATGCAGGATCTAAAGGAGCAAAGGCTTCGTCGATCAATAGAATTGGTGGGCACTCGTCTCTGAGAAAAACTTTCTGGATGAACTCAACCTTGCAACGCTCTCCGCCCGAAAGCTCACTGTACCAGTCCTCCCTGACGTTGTCCAGAGACAACTCCGATGTGGCTTCCAAGCCAATCGGCCGGATCAAACCGAATTCCTTGAGCATTTGCTGTGCTCGCGCTCGAAGAGCTAGCTCAGAGCCGCCGTCCCGGCCGTCCTGAAACAAGAGCCAGGACATTGGAGAGGCAAACATTGGCCAATAGAACTGCTGTGCAATCTCTACAATGTCACTTGACGGCAGGTCCATGATCGTGTCGGCCGTAAGCTCAGCTCCTGCTGGACCCCAAGTGCCGTCTCGACAGGAAGCCACATATGCCAAGGCAGTGCTCTTGCCGCATCCGTTTGCACCAGTCACTGCCACGATGCGGCCCATGGGCAAAACCAAGCTTGGGATTTCAACATGGGCCTGCCCTCGTGTATACTCCAGTGAGGTTATGTGCACAAATTGGCTAAACTTGGTCGTTCTGCACTGCGGCCGTTTTGCTGCATGAAGCGCGGCTTGCTGATCGATCAACTGGCGCAGAACAGAGATTTTGGTCTGGATGCTTGCCAGGGTTGCTTGCTCGCGCTGCCGAGTCAGCACAGTGTCTATCGTGTGCTCCAACACAGACGTGTACAGGTAGATGTCTGTGCTGCATATGTAACCCGTCTCCATCAGGAAGGCCAGTGTGCATTCGATTCCAGGTCCTAAAAGAAGCTGGCGGTACATCTGGTCCGCCGTGCTATGCAGCAGTTGAAGCGACTTCAGGCGCATGCCATGATCCTCAATTTGATCCCCAATGCTTCGCCATTGTCTTTGAGCGAAACGAGAGGCGCGCGCCCTTTGCATCAGATCTTCGTTTTTCATGTCATGCAGCTCCAGGCGACGCCTCTTACTCGCAAGCTCAAGCAGATGGCGGTGTAGCATTTCCACCTCTGCCGTCAGGTATGCTGTGATCCCCGCTTTGCAAGTGTCCAAGAGCATACTGGCGGGCACAACTGATAACATCAGCCAAGGCTTAGCTAGGACAACGCCAGGCAGGAGCATCAATTTGGGGAGCGAGAACAGCTTGGTGGAAATGATCCCGAAACTCATCTCCAGAGCTCCGTTGATCGCATCTGCATATTGCTCCACAGTGAAATTGGAGAGAGCAGCTGCTTTCAGCATGGTGCCCGCAATGCCTTCGTCGGGAAAGAAACTATGGAGTCGTAGCCTACGCTCTGCCCAATGTCGAAAGCGCCCGAAGTGGTGCATCTGGACGCTTGTCATGACCGTTTTCGATAGGAGATACGGCAGACACACGAAAAACACCCATTGCTGTGCCCTGGCTGCATACCCTCTAGCTGAGAGTGATGTTCCTGCTCCCACAGTGAGCAAAGCGTTTTGCCTGTCCTGTACGGACCTCAGAAATTGAAGGCTTTGATACCCCAAAGAGATCTGCACATTTGCCGTAACAAGGAGCATCTCAATGGCCAGGTTCCCAAAAGCTGCATCTGCAATCCTCGATACTGTGGCATACACAACCATGATTTCGTCAACAGGCAAGCACAGATTGAATAGGCGCGGCAGCATGAAGGCAATTGCCAGCCCTGCCGTGCCACCAACCACTTTTTGGGACGAGGACAGCCTACCAAGAGCGGGTTGGAAATTTTTTGAGTGGATTGTGCAAAGTACCGCTAAGATGCATATGGCGCGTACGGACACCACCCAACACTTGGCTTCCATGATGTAGAAGGTCACTGCGAGGCTGAGACCTGTGAACAACGTGGACTGCAATGCCGTCCTCCATTTCAGTGCGACAATGTAGGAAGCCACTTGACTGCCAATCAGCAAGCTGTAACTGGAACTTTGTCCCTGAAGCAGGAGGTGCTTGTTAAATGTCGCCACCGCGCCAACGATCAAGCTGACCAGCGCGCGTTGCCGAAAACACTCTCCAGGATGCACCACCATTCTGGAAAACATGACTGGCACTGCCGGACAGAAGATGCTCAAGTCATGTAAAGCGAAGAGATAGTTGCCGATGCTGTGCAACGAGGCTCCAGGCAATACGTCTGTTTGGGCGGTAAGACAGGCCAACAGCAGAGCCAGCAGTGCACTGGCCAACACTGCTGTGCGATCTAGGCCCATGCGGATTTGTGTTTCAAGCTCACGGCCTACCCCGGTCCTTTGTCCGGAGCAGTGTGCTGCAGCTTTGAGCCAGTCAATCAAAGAATAAATCCACCATGCTGAACGGCTACGAGCCCTGAGAACCGCACGGTAGTGTGTTGAGCACTGGAAGAAATCACATTCCCACTAATTCCCACTGTGCAAATGTCAGTCAGGCCTGCGACATTTCCAGGAGCTCGTCACGAAGCCAAGCCATGACATCATCGTCGCGAGTCAAACCGCCGGCCGGATGCAGGTGGTCGTACAGATCCTGCCGCTCAGCGCAAAGACTGCAGGCACGACCTGCGATCGCACGGAGTACAGTTCCCAGACAAGTCCTGGCTGGTCCAGGAAACGGACTCTACGCCGCAGAAAAGCTCTCGCAGCCTCCAGACCAGCATCGTAAGATCGTGTTAACGAATGGCGACGTCCAAGCACTAAGCGTCGGGCTCCAGAGGCGAGAAGAGCCAAAGGGCACCCGTTCTGGGGCCTAAAACATCATGGAGACCACGGCGCAGTGAACGCACCTGAAGTGCTCACAAGCGGCTCTGCTGACTACCTGCATGCTGCCTCTTACAGCATTGACAGTGACTGGCACCTGCTCTCGAACACCCACATCCAGCCAGAAGGAGCACGCAGCATCCACAAAGTCGTCCAAGCCTTGCACAGCAAGCCAGGTTTTGCTGTATTGACCCTCGCGCACAGCACTGGCCGAATGCCAAACCGGAGTATACGGTAGGGCTCCCTTTTGGATCTGAGTTCGGGGCTCTCCAGGCTCACGCATCTTGCTTGGTCCTTTGACTCCGGCCTTCTGCGAAGTGAAGTGAAGTAAGTGAAGTGATCAGTGAGGGCAAAAGCCTCGACTCGCAAGTCTCGGGCCGAAGCGCGGGCAGCGATGGCCCACTGAAGCCCGTCGCCAGAAACTCGGCGTTGCTTGCCCACTCCTAAGGCTCTAAGGCTGGGCCGAGTAGAGCGCTTAGAGAGAAAGAAGCCACTCTTTGCCCCGCCCCCACCCGGCGGGCCTCGAAGGAGCCGACGGTCTCCGAAGTCTCGAGGTACTGAGCTGCCCAACCAGGATCCTTCGCCAAGCTCTGCCTCTGCAGCAAGCGCAGAAGCGACACATGACTGTGACGGAGTTTTTGCAATTCCAACCCGGACCAGCATTCCCAGCACGCGTTGCACCGAGCGCTTAGTGGATTCTCCGCATGAGCATTCAAGCTTTGTACAAACCGGCGACTGCTCAGGCGTGCAATTGGCCGTGGAGTTCCGGCTTAGCCGAACATAATTTGGTCATTCCTCTCGCCCTGATCTCGGCTGTGCTCGTGCAGGTTGTCGGACCGGCGGCTGGCCCAGGTTCACTGCCAAGAAGTTAAGCCTCACAGACTCGCAGCAACCGCGGTCTTGATAGAGCCAAGAGTGCATGGTATGCATGCCCTGCTCACTCAGCTCAGGATCGTGCAGCGTCCAAAACTGCTCCTTGCACTCCAAATCTCTCTGAGAAGCAGGCATGCAGCATCCAGATTTTGCGACAGCACTCGAATAGATTTCAGCCACGTGGCTTCATGGGAGGCATCCAATAAGGGGGTGATGGCCAGGTAACGTTGATGCAGTTGAATGCACAGCCAATAGCGACCGTCCGTGACAATGCCTAGCAAGGGGGAAGTCCTTTTCCTCGTCCTTAGCTTCAACATCGTCCATCACTCTCAATCTAGTGTCGCTGGGGCCACCATCTAAGACGCCGGCATGCGCCCGTCCCACAGAGCCAGCAGCTGCAAGGTGCACTGCACTGCTCCCTGCGCCAGCAGCCCGTCTGAGCAGCGTTTGGCCTCCAGAGTGCCCAGCACTTGGCCACCTCTCCGCAGGACATAGTCGCATATACTCACAGGCACTGGCGAAGTCCGAAAGTACTCCTCCAGAGTGACTTCAACGCCCAGCTCGGCACACAAGGGAAACATCACCTTGTCGATCACGCAGCGTGATGCCGCTTCTTTGGCACCTGGCGCTGAAAGCTTCAGGAGTTATCTCCAAGGCATAACTGTAGATTCTTCCCACTAGGTTAGTCACTAGTTGTGCTGGCAGGAAAGGCCCCCTCAATAGAGCTGAACTCGCCTGCACGTAATAATAAACTCCCCCTCAATAAACGTAATTCCCGTTCCTTTTGCTTTCTTAATTTCCAAGGATCAACACTCCTACAACGAAGTGACACCCTGGACTGTACTACTACTGTACTACTACTCTACTGCTCTACTACCGTACTACTACTGTGCTACTGTACTACTGTACCATTACGCTACTACTGTACTACTACTGAGAGCCCCGGCCTCCAAGCAACTTTGACCCCGGCCCAAACAAATAAAGATGATCAGATGATCAGGAGGCGGACCCCCCCTCGCCACCAATGCGATTCGGGATGCTCGGGGGGGCAGGGGGGTTACTAATCAGGAGACCACATTACGCAGCTCTGCTATGCTACAGGCTAGTATTGTAACAGCAACCGCAAACGCATGATGCTGTCGTCAAGGCCCCGAGGTAATCGAGGCAAGCTTTAAAGACGACCCGTGCCAAGACACCCAGCGTTGAAAGACCTGCGAGACGGCGGAATGGCTCACGCCCTGCGACCTTGCCCTCAGGGCAGCCGAGGACACGAAGAACGTTCTCCACCTCGCCCAGGTACTGCTCTTGCCACGGATCTTCTCGGCAGAGTCCAGGTAAGGCTCCCCTAGCAACGGCTGATGGCAGCTCTGTCAGCGACTCTTTCAAGAACGTTTCCAGGGACTCCAGGCTCCTTCTTTGGGTGCCGATCTTTGAGCACCATGGTAAAACCCAGAATTCCGGAAGATATTCAGAGAGTTGTGCAGCATTCCAGGTACTGCTGCTTCTTGCCGAGTGGGCGATCGCGGCGGCTCTGCCAGACTTCGCTTCGGAATATTCGCTCCAGAGACTTTCCAGTTTCTCGAACTCCTCGGCAGCTTAGCAGAACATTCTTCTAATCCCCAGCCGAAGAAGGGCCTTGAGTCCCCTGAACGCCCTTGCCTGTGCTTGAGCCCATACTTGGAGTTCCGAAGCCTTTGACATGACAGACGGGGTGCCGTCTTGCTGACGACCCAGCCGCGCTGGCTGTGATGGTCCAGCAGCTCAAGCTTCGCTAAAGCAACATCCCGTTCCGTCTCTGCCTCAGCTCTGAGGACCTGGCTCTGCACCTGGCGGACAGTCAAGCGCCCTTCTCAGCCAGTTCACACCGGCCCCGCCTCCCGCTCATTCTGGGACAGTTTCTGCGCGATCGTCAAGGGAAGGTCCTGAAGCAGCATGGCTATGTCAAGATGCGTTTCTTATGGTTGCCCTGCATCTGCGTGGGATGGGATGGCGGCGTAATGACAGGCAGGGGCATGGAAGGGTTGCATAGATGCATGGAGCTTTGCAATCTTTGGTCCATAACTCTGAAGTCAGAACAGGTGCCAGTCGCGGTAGACCATTTCTGATGACAGATATGATTTGATGAGAGACAAGCATGTTTGCTGTCTGCTGGGAGAAATCCTTCAGACTTCAGAGTCCTTGACGCGGATAACTTCCGCCAGCGCTGCAGTCTCGCCGCGCACGGCTTTGATCTGCGCAGTCAAGGTGCTGACCTGCTCCTGGCATCGATTGCTATGACAAGTTTCTGTTTTAGTCGGCCCCATCCATTCCTCGGCACTGGGTGGTCGCTGCACAGGCGGTGGCAACACCTGCCAAGTCTCACGCAGTTACCACATGACATGCTGGCTGCCAACTGAAACGGTTAAAGTTTAAAGGCTATTGGTTGGGATCCCACCCGGCCTACTAACAGTGAGCACAAACAGAAGCACAAAAAACAGCACCAGCAAAGCCGCAAAAACAAGACTAGGTAGTGATCACAACCTCCAATTCGGGAATAGAATGAATGAAACATTGGTTGCATCCGATCAACTTCGCGCGGAACCCCGAACCCCAACCCCCAAGCCTTAAACCCTCAGGAAAACCCTAGGCTTTCAGCCCCAAACCCGAAACCCACCCTAAGCTCTAAACCATCGCCAGATCTCTGTCATAGCATGCTTGCATTGGACTGGATCTGGTACAGAACACAGAATGCATCGCTCTTGGGCGGCTTCTGTCAGGATCCAGGCATTGGCTGCAACGACGAGTTTTACGCCCCCAACCTGTTACTGCAGATCTTTGTTGAGGGGCGTTGCTGAAAGGCTTTGTTGGAGTTGCCTGCCTGCCGGAGCTCCCCGGCCAGGACCCTGGCCAGTTTGGTCCAGTTTCAATTACTCACACTGCCTCCATCAAACTTTTGGATCTTTTGGCCAATTTCGCTGCTGCTCTTTCTTGTGCTTGTCATTACAGCTTTATGTCAAACCTTGCGCTTTTTCTGGTGCTCGAGATTGAGTTTTTTCTGGTGCTCGAGATTGTGCTAATGATTGTGCTCTTTCTGGTGCTCGAGATTGTGCACATGATTGCGCTTTTTCTGGTGCTCAAGATTGTGCTCATGATTGTGCTTTTCTGGTGCTCAAGATTGTGCTCATGATTGTGCTTTTTCTGGTGCTCGAGATTGTGCTCATGATTGTGCTTGTTCTGGTGCGCGAGATTGTGCTCATGATTGTGCTTTTTCTGGTGCTCAAGATTGTGCTTTTTCTGGGTGCTCAAGATTGTGCTCATGATTGTCCTTCCGCGCTGCTTCGACGCGCAGCCCGCGCTTGCCAAGCTGCGGCCTGTGCTTCGTCTGGACAGACCCGGCAGCCGTGCGCCCCGCCCCAAACTACCGAGAGCGAAACAGCCCGAGTTTGCGAAGCCTGCGGGCCTAGCCTAGGCTTCTTCCGTACAGACCCGGAAACCCCAGGCCTAAACTCCGAACCCTAAACCTTCGGCCCCGCATCCGGACTCTGACAGGTTTGCCTTAAACCCTAAACCCCAGGGCCGAAACTCTAAACTCCGAGCCCGAGACCTTGAGCCCCACATCCGGACACTGAGACAAGCTTGACAAGCTTGCCCCAAACTCCAACCCCTGGCCCGAAACACACAAACACTGAGACCCACATTCCAGAAGCCAAATCAGCCCTGACCAAGCCCAAGCCCCAAGCGACGCCAGTACCACAGTGAATGTTTCTGAAAGCGCGATCAGGTTGCTAAGATTTTATCCAATGGGGCCTTCAAACCCTGGTGCTCATTTCTGCCTGTGTGTTATATAAGGAACCTGTATTTAACTGTTAGTGGGGTGTGTGGGATCCTAAGCTATTGGATTGTGCACTTTGCTTGCCGTCCGAGGATCTTTGTTCTGGGAAGTCCCATTCAGCCGAGACCACCAAGCTTGCGCGACAGAGAGCCCTTTGTGGCAGGCGGCCCTTGCTGCACAGAGCGGACCGAGATGGGCCATGGGCCACATCACCACATTGTCGGATAGGTGCTGAGGGGGCAGAAAGCCAAACAGCCGCAGAGTCAAAGAAGGAAATCCGTTCGGCAAAGCGTGCCCAAAGTTCGGCGAACAACTGCCTTTGCCAAAACATGCAGCCTGCCTTTGCTCCTGGCTCTGCTCAGCTATGTCTGCACGGAAGCGAGCACCTCAAGAGTCTTACACATATTACTTTTCGATCCGAACCAAATGCTTTCTCACTGAGGCCACAACAAGCTCCTACGAACTCTCCAGCAAGTCCATCTCCAGGCTGTGGCAGATGCTCGCAGCCAACCTATTTCGCGCCAGTGTGGGTTGACCGGCGTCGCTTCTAGCTCTGCCAGGCGCTCCTTTTCCCCACGAAGCTGTCGCAGGACAGTTGCCTCGTTGTTGAGGCTCTGGTCTGGCGGTGACGACAGCTGACAGTTGAGCTGCGTGCCGCGAGTGGAAGAGGAACGACGAAGGACTCCCGCAGCGCCAAGGCCAGCAGGCGACCTCCAAAACGCAAAGCGCAGCTCAGAGATCTCCGTAAATCGGCAAAGCGGAAAGACACATCCGGCGGCCCTTGGGCGGCCTAGGGAGCGGAAACGGGCCAAGACGGCCGGGAGCCGGGGATCCTCCGCTCGAAGCGGCTGCACCTCAAGTAGAGCTCTCGAGCTTTTTCACATCCCGAACAACAGGTCATTCATTACCGGACTTGAGATTCGTCACACCCATCAACCGGAGATGTTCACGGCAGTCTTTGTTGTGAGTTTGCAACCACAAGCCCAACATTCCCACATGCCCATGTCAGCAGTGATTGCACTTTACTCCTTTCTGTTTGGGATGCAAGAAGCAGCGGTTGCCCCTCCACCGTGGCTTTTCCATGAGTTTGCGGGCTTTGCTTCCGCAACTTCGCGTATAGCACTACACCCACTCTTGACGGTCTGAAACCAACCGACAAGTCTCAAGTTCATCGTGGTGAGGAAATCGGTAGTGGGTCCTGTTCATCGGTTGAAGGCCTTTGCGGTACTAATCGGCGGCTTCCAAACTCCCATCCGAGAAACTTGTTTTGAGGTTCCCATCCAAAATTACAGAAGTGCCACTTAAGAAGAAATGCTTGCCGACCACATGCTATTGCGATGACTGCTGTTTGAGTACGACTGGGCTTGGGATCACCCATCTTCCGCGGAGCTTCCGTGCACGTTCCCTACCTAGCTGAACATTATGGAGATGAAGCAATGGCTTGGCCCATGATAAGCTATAAACGTACAGGTCTGCGGTCACATACACGAATGTTATAAGCGTGTGTCTCTTGCTACTGGGATCTAATGGGAACTTTGGCTGATTGTGGCACTGGTGTGGCACTGGGTCGGTTCCCCAATCCATGTGCAGTACCTGTGCTCAGCTGACTGCATCCCGTGAGCTTCTCGAGTTTACTGTCAGGGTTTACCATCGTGCCTTCGGCCAATTTGGGTGCTTAGGGTTTAGAGCTGTAGGGTTCTTTAGGGAGGCGGGCCAACACTCTGGAGCCCTGAAAGGCTTATGGGATATCTAGGCATATAACCTATGCTTAGCTTGAGCCTCCGCGGATTTTTCTCAGACCAGCCGCTTCCGCCGAGCTTCCGCACATACAGTCTCATCTAGGTGTTTTTCGGCCGAAACAATTTTCACATTGCACGGCTTAATACTGAAGGAATAAGCGTGGGGCAAAAACACAGTTCATGCGGCCTGTCGTTGATTTGACTGATTGATTCATTGACTGACTGACTGCTTGACTGATTGTTTATTATTTGTTTACTCACTGATTGGTTGGTTGGTTGGCTGGTTGAATGGTCAAACAGTTGAGCGATTGACTGACCGAATGAATGAATGAACGAAGAAATCCCCGAAGGAACGAAAGAACGAAGGGATGAATGAATGGTTGATTGAGCGGTTGACTGACTGGCTGACTGAATGGTTGAATGAGTTGACTGACTGGCTGACTGACTGACTGAATGAATGAGCGAACCAAAAGTCCATGCATTCATGAATAAAGGAATGAATGCAATACTAAATCAATGGAGGAATGAACGCACCCACGAATGACGGAAAGAATGCAATGATGAATGCAACAATGAATGAAAGACTGAATGTATGCATGCATGCACGAATGAATCAACGAGCGATGGAAGGAATCAATGCAATAATCGATAAAGGAATGAATGCATGAAGGAAGGTATGAAGCAAGGAAGGAAAGAAGGACATGCTGAAGGAAGGAAGGAATTCTGAAACCAAGGTACGAGTGAACGAAATGGAATTAATGGGTGAATGAACGCATGACTGGCAGACTGACTAAATGAATGCATGCATCATTCATTTTTGTATATTAGCTCATAGATTGATCGAGTGAGTGAGCGTACAACATGAATGATTTAGCATGATTAGATCTCCCGTGGGTGCCGTCTATCGGCGGGTTCTGATCCTCCCACATCTTGTTCGTCCTTACCTAGCAGCCACTCTATCGAGTCTAAGCTGGCAAAGCTCAGCTTCCTCATGGGCGCTGAGTCTTTGAGATCTGCATGAAACTTAAGGCAGGCGGCCATGAGGCCACGCCGACTCCGCAGGAACTCGCCCTCCGATTCCAAACATTCGGCCTTGGCCGAGAAAGTGGCTGGAAGAGGTATGAACAGGTGACAAGCACGACTCAGAGTGTCTGGCCCACATGGGCACGTGGCTATTGTGAGAGGTTCTTTGCAGCTCTTTGGCAACATCACTAAAGAATCCTGCACAGGTGTCACAGTGTCTGTCCTGATTACGATGCAGATTCCTGCGCTCCTTGCCTTGGGTGACTCCCCGACCAAATCCTGTTTCGTCCTGACGTATCTGCAGCCCAGTACTTCGCGGATTTCAAAGAAGCCTTCACAACACAGCTGGATCGGAGACCTTGAATTGGACCTCCACCACGCCCGAAGATGACTCGGCGGCCGCAAGGCATGTGGATGTTCTCTGCTGTACTTTGACATAAGTGTACGTGCATTGATTCAACTGCAAAGCCCCGCACCAAGCAGCACTCTGCCAAAGCTGTGGCCTGATCCCAAATCCTCTCCCTGGCACGGCTCGTGTCACTTCTCCGGAAAGCCCATGAGCACAGCAGATCCAGTTCTACACGGCTCCGGACCACCGCATACCACTACCCTTGCATGATCCCGGCCTGTCCACCTTGGCCAATTCGGATGTCAAAGATCCGATCCACACCTGCAGGGCTCAGCTGGGAAAGATGGTGGTTTCTGGAGACACTCGTGCTGTCTCATCGCACCTCGGGGTCCTGTGAGATCTGCTTCGTTAACTCAAAGAGATGCTCATAGGCTTGCGACCTTGCGGGCTGTCAGGCAGGAAAAGCTGCTCATCGGCAGCAACGAACTGTGAGATGCTGCGAGCCAGACAGTGCTCGTGAATCTCCGAGGTTCTTGGCTTGTGCTACCCGCCCCTCTGCAGCCTTCATGACCTCCAGAAGCTCTCATCGCGAAGCAAATGCGCGCAGGACCGCTGGTTTCTGCCGGCCTCGCTGTACCTGCGGTCCACCTGGTGGAGCTTCACATGACACAGAGACATGCAGATACAGCAGAGCGCTCCGCAGCACCTCGCGCGTCTGGCGATCATGAACCGCAAAAGGTAAGCCGAAAGCTAATGACCTGTCCCGGGACTTCGAAGACTGTGTGTCGTGTCGAGATCTTCGCGTGTAGCACCGGATCGCACGTGCACACCTTGGGACCGCCTGCCTAGCCCCTCCTAGGTGGCTGAAACGAAAACTTCCCACCAGGGCCACAGGGCCCTGGTGCAGTGGAGCGGCAACTCACCATTCCGGACAAATCTTCGATCTCTAATCTCTGTGATGTTGACTCTCAGAGGCGTCAATGACAAAATGCGAGTCATCGCTTGCAACTCGTCGCCGGCCATGTCTATGTCGCCACGGCGCAACGAAATGGAAGATAAGCTATGTTGGGCAAGGAAAGGAATGATTTGCCAGGTACTGGTAGGCTTCTGGGAGGGGCGTTCGGAGTTTGTAATTTCTTGTGATGTCTTTCCAGCGAGGCCCCTGGCCGTGATGTGAAGGGGAGCGAACGGGAAGAGGAGTGACATTGCGGTTCCCACGTCCCTGGGGCCACGGGTCCAAAAATCCAACGAGTCTGGCCATGTCTGGACTCTACTCCAATATCGCAGACCAAATCCCCGGCAAGCTGGTGAAATGAACGCATCAAGAAACAGGCATGCAGCCAGACGGATGGTACAGTAGGGACGAACGGCTCAGGCACCGCGGGATTGGTTGTGAATTTAGAACACGACATCCACGAGCTCTCTGTGCCATGCTAATGTACCCCGACTGCCAAAACTTGGCGAGCCTGTAAGCTTACGAATGATGTAGCGCAGGTTTGAGGTGCCAGGCAGGTCAAGGAGAGCCTCAGCAGCACTTCGCGGCAGTGGCGATCGAACAGCTGCGGCCTCGGTCTCAAATGTTCCAGTTTGCGTAATTTCACACATGGCCAGAAAGACGAGGCTCATCAGGGTGCCAAGTCGAAGTACCCACGAAGGCATGCTGTCGCTGACCAAAGCAACCTGGACAATTGTCAGCGCGTAGCAAAGAGAAACTTGGCACTTGCGAGGAATGCTTCTATGCGTCTTCTATACTCACTGCATCTCACTGCTCTTCTCTTGGCGGCCCAGAAGGCCACATAAGTGCTGGGATCTCAAGGTTGTGTTTTCTGGAATCTCCTTTGCAGGGATCCGTTGCCAGGTTCCTCGCTGGGTTGTAGGAAAGCACAGGGAGGGGTCTCTTACACAACGCAATATGGGAATGCTGACCGAGGTCCCTGTGCCGATTGCTCCTGTTCTTGTGCACCCTCAGTCGTGCTTCACCCTGTGAGCACGCACGTCTTCTAGAGGGTGGCCGGCAGCTTGCCCGAGCCACCCCTTTCCTGGCTTGGCATTCTCAGTCTCCGGGGTATGCACCGACGATTGCCCGCGCGATACAGCATTGACCGCCCGAAATCTGCACGGCTGTCGGTGTCAGTCATCAGCAGCAGCAGCAGCAGCAGCAGCAGCATCACTTAAGCCTCTCTGCGTCGCCGATGACAGCTTGGGAAATTAATTAATCCCGTACAGGCAACATGGCTCCTATGCCAGAAAGTGGCTCTTGGGTATCTCTCTCTTCCTCTCCTTCTTTCACCGGTCTAAGCGGAACAGGCAGCTAGTCCGACACCCCCCTCCACGCGACCATGTCAAATCTCGAGTTGGTCTGCATGAAACAAGACAAGAGACTCAACTGCTGCTTTCAAGCCCGTGACATCCGACCGCACCCGGAAGTCTCAATTCGACTAGAAGCTGTCGTTGCTCTAGGCACTGACTACGCGTCGTTCTACAGGCACCCGTCTTCCCTCCCAAGCATAGGGGACCGTTCGACCGCCCCGTGAGGGTTCTAGGTAGCCGTGATAAGTCTGCCAGCATCAAAGACGTATTCAAAGTCTGGAAGATCCTGTATGTTGATGCCTGCTTTGAGATAGATGCTGGTTATGGTGGACCTCCTGAGGACAGGGAAAGTCCCATGCAGAGAGGCCAGAGCCCCCCGCCCCCCATGCAACTGTCTGAGTGCCCTTCCTTCTCTCTTTGCGGAAGAGTCCAAGACTCGCTGCAACCCCGATGAGTGAACTCCCCCTCATGATCCCTCACGCATGAGTCCGGCGTCCTCGACGGAACAGTCTGCAACACGATCACAAGCTTCCAAAGAATCTTGCTAACTGCTGCTAAGAAGAAAAACTCCGGCGATGCACTGGAGAAGGGGGCACTAGGTGCAAGACTTACAGGAACACGCTCGGGCTCTGTGAACTTCTTTCCCCCACTTCCGTTTCGGGAACTCACTGCCTAGACCTGCCTACCCCCAAACCTAACTGGACCTAACTCCCCCTTACTGTCTTTCTCTGCGTTCTTTCACTGGGCATGATCTTTTTTCTTCTCCAGAGCTCGGTTCCTTCCTCTTTCTCACACTGACTCCAGCCAGGCCTGGTGGGAGCAAAGGTCTTGCAGCTTGGCAGACAAGCGTGTCGACTGAACGTCTGCGTCTGCTTGCCACAGCCTGCTTGGGCAACTCTCACTGCAAGAGCACACTTCCGACTGACAAGTAGACAATCGCAGACAGGCTTCCACACATCAATGCACGCTTTTATAGGCAAAGCGAAACTTACGACTCGATGTTGAAATGCTGAACAGCAAGTTGCCCGTGGAAGCGTCTCAGCATGTAGAGGCACTCCATGTGCTCGCCCGAAGTGGCAGCAGAGGTACTGTCTCAAGCAGGCTAGCGAAACGAAGAAGCGATGATACACTCAGCAGCACAGCTTTCGGCAGTCAAGCTGAAGAACACAGACGGCAGAAACTTGAAACCATGCAAGCAATGCTTCGGATTACGAAGGTATATGACGATGTGGAACTACAGACGCACACATGCATGTGACATAAAGGTATGACAGACTCGATTGGTAAAATGGGGCCCCTCCATCCTCCATCCATCATCTGCACTCATCATAGCTGTCCGACCCCGTGACTCAAGCAGCTTCATGTCGATCAAGAGCGGTGAGTTCCCTGACTGACCACCTGCATGATTAAAACGGGCAGGAAGTGGCATAAATCAGATGACACAGTGGCAGCCGAAGCCGGCAAAAAGTGCATTTAAATTGTAAACGTATCAAAAAAGTGCATTTAAATGTAAACGCATCTGGTACACGTTTGCAAAACCATCTCTCTGTCCCACCATTTCCTACGCCACTTCACCTGCACATGATGTGTGAATACCGTTTCGGGCGATCTTGCTCTCCCCGTTCATCAACGACATGTGACATGACTGGCACATGCCGGTGGGACAGCCGCAAAGCTGCGCCAGCAGCCGTCTCTGCTGAGAGGCCCAGCGTGTCCAGCCTGGAGTCGCGGCCGAAGCTAGCACTGTGCACTCTTCGAAGCGTTCCTGAGCCGCTGGCGTCTCCTCCCATGCCTCGCTGGCACGTGGCTGTCCGTCCTGGCAATTCGAACATTTTCTGCTGAGCTCCATAACCTACTTCCGCAGGTGCCTGATCGAGAACGAAGTCGAAAAGCTCGTCCGATGCATCCTGCAAGTCTTTTGGAATGATGCGTGGATCTTTTGGAGAGTTTGGATCCAAGATGAGGACAACACAATCGCCACCAGTGCAATCCATGTGCATGTGTCGGACCTCCACAGCCGGTGATGCTTGGTCGTCACCTCTCACGCAGTCTGTCGAAGGTACCAGAGCAGCTCGAAGCCAAAGACAAGGTACACGGAAACTTAGGCAATCGACGCTTTGTTTGTGCAGCGTACAAGTCTTCCAAAGTTGGCCTGTATTGAAACAAGAACAGCTGAGGGAAAACGATGTCAGTCACTTCAGTCTCCAAGCTGTCTGCAGAACCACTGAGCAGGACAGTCGCAGTGTCGTCAGCAGGTCCACCTGGAATTGAGCTTTGTCGACATTCTGGTACCCTGGCACCCCATCGAACGAGAAGCCGCCTTCTGGCGCTCTGCCAGATGCTGCAAGCCCTTTGCGAGAGCCTCAAAGCTCGGAGCATTGAATGCGAAGTTGATCTGATCCTCTACTCGGGGCCTTCGAGGACCTTAAGGTTCGCTTGAGCCTCCCCTGACATGCCGCTTCAGAAATCGTTCCCGTGGAGTCGTGTCAGCTGCCGGCATTTCAGTGCGACTTCTCGGTGTGACTATGCACCATATCTATTTGCGCATGCAGACAGATACAGTACCGATTCCCTCCGGTCATTTGGAATGTCTTGACTAGTCAAAGAGTCAGTTCCTCGTTGCATCGAATGCTTTGGCAAAGAGCCGCCGCAATGCTCAATAAGCCCCTTCTTGGGAGTTTCTTCCTTGCTCGCTGAACTCTTCGTTTGTCTAATCTCGTTCTTTCCTGGCCTAGACCGAACGAAGCGGATCGTCTACATTCCAGGATGTTGCAATGTTGCGAGGATACTAATTACCAGTCTGATTCAAAATCAGAAGAGGCTGCGACCCATTCCGGTGGGAAGCGCAATGGAGCAGACAGAGATTGCGGGCTTCGGACCTTATGTGAGGCTGGAGCTCAAGCTGTGCCATGGTTGCATCTGGGCATGGCTGGGCTCAATGCACAAGCAGACAATGCGGCAAACGAGTCATCCGGTGGGCCATGGAGCCATTCCTGCTTCGAAATGGGCATTTACTGCACAAGAAAGTCGGCAGGCTGTAGTAGCAGCTTTGATACCAGTAGCGGTAGCACGACAGAATCTAACTGTCCTCCGGACGGATCTTGAAAGTTGCCGTCATCTGCCCAGATACCGCGGGATAGATGGAGGCCTTGCATATAGCGAGCATCGTCCAACGTTGCTTTCTTACTTGACCGTGGCCGGGGTCCCGGCGCACTGCACACCCGTGAATGTAGCAGGGGTCACCCAGACACCGTCTGTGCTGAACTGCAAGATCCCGGCAGGCACGTCGGCTGCGCAGCCCACAACCACCTGCTGCCCACAGAGCTTTCTGCACGGCAGATGTCTTTGCCGTTTGCAGGCTATTTCGCACCTCTTTCGCCCAGGAAGAAGGATAGCTTCCGGCCTGCTACATATGTGTCTATATGTCTCTGGCTACCACAGGTCCACATGTCGCTGGCGACAGCCGAGATGATGGGTATTTAGGGCGAGCCTCGCCGCCGTGCCAAATCTTTTGTCTCGCGCCTCACAGGCAATCGGTCCATCTCAGGGTCACGAATCTCAGCGACTTCTCTCAGTGGCTTGCCATCCACTCCCCAACTTTCAAGGTCATCACCTCACCAGGCTACACCATGGAGCGAAAGGTAGCGAAAGCGAAAGCGTGCGGCAGAGCGAAGAGCGAAGGACGAGGTCGCTGCCAACCCCGTAAAGCCAGGTGTCCCCAAAGAAGCGAAACTTCTCCGAGGCCCAGCCTCGAGAACAAAAGACATCAAGAGTCAAGAGAACAAGGCAGATTTGGGGCCTATCTGCGGGGTGTCATGCGACTCGATGTGCAGCTCATAGTACACCTTTCCACCGAGTATGCCGTGCAGAAATCGTCTTCATCACTGCCGGCTGCACTTGCACATTGCAGGAATGTCATGGCCTTTCCACTGCTGTTGAGCTCTGGAAGACCAACCGTAGTCCATGAAGCCGAGACCCACGAGCACCCGTCGACTCGAACCTCTTTTCCTCGCAGCAGACCTGTCCGTCTTTCACTTCGGGCATGCGACTTGGATGCCATGCTGCACAGGCACTAATCGTGCCAGCTGTGCTGACTGAAGGTGGGCTCGTGCTGCTCGAGCTCCCACCGAGTTCGTATGCCTGTCATCGTCATACGACGTCCGGCGACGCCATGGTTCGGAATGGAGTGAAGCTTGCCAGGCAGGCCAAGGTTGGCTTGGGCAGCCAGGCGCCCCGCGTCAGGACAGGAGCTACAGCGGGCGCCGCTGGCTCCTCCGTCCGGGCGCCCTCTTGGCATTCCGCGTCGACATCTGGGGCAGAGATGCGAAGTCTCGCACTCTAGCTTAGACTAGACACGGGATGGCACAACGGCTTCCTTGCTGAGTTTCACACTGAATCGACGTGTGACCCTCGAGGACTCTGCTCCGCGCCTCGACGAAAGGCTTAAAGTTGCCGGCTCTCGTACAACAGCAAATACGTGTACCCCCCAGCTAAGCCACAGGCTCAAGCGCCTGGAGATCCTCCGAGGAGTGGATTCGCCCATCACAGACAAGGCAAAGAGAAAATGGCAATATGCTACGGATTCTCAGCCAGCTCTTTTGCGATGTTTTCTTGGCTCTGGACTGCGCGGGTCTGGACTTGCGGCTCCACCGGCGGAACAGGGTACAATCGTGGCCTGAACTCTTTGAGCCCTGGGCTTCTGCACAGAAAAAACTGGATCTGAGGCACCAGCCCCTCGAATCCAGGCATGTTGCGATGCTTTCCAGTGGCCTTGGCAATGCATGTCAGTATGAAAACCTTGCTGTTGCAGCTTGATGTTGATGATAAACCGTCTGCGCCAAGTCTTTGGCCAATGCCCCCGTTGCAAGGGATACATACAAAGTCTGAGGAGCTTCTTGGACGACAACTGCTGGCATCCATGCCTTCTTCAGAACAGGCAAATGAGCAAGGAAGTTCCAAGTAATCAATACTGCTAGACTTGCGTGTGCTGAGTCGGAAGCATCTTGCATTTTTATCTCCACGAGGTCTCGAAGTGCACTCTTCGCATTGCCCTGCACTTCTGCGAGATGGTCTACAAGACTGGACCATGGTGACTGCCAGCGAACGGTCTCAGTCTCACGGCGCGATCAACACAGCACTTCTGAAATTTCAATGGGGGCTGCCTTTCCGCGGCTGGCTGAGCCTGCAAAATCATATCGCAATAAACTCTATATCTTTAATCGAGCGATGTCGAGCGCAACCTGCCTTGAGCTTGTGCTGCTTCGGGTTCAGCCACTACCTGGACCATGCAGACTTTGCGCTTCGCAGGTGCAGTTTTTTCAGGGCAGGCACACGGCAGGCGACGGCGGCCATGAGCCGATCTGCGATGCGCGAGGCCGAGCCTTCATTACAAAGCTTACGCTGGGCCTTGTGATGACTTGTCTGTCTCAACCGCCTCTACGAAGCACCTTCTGCTGACCCATCTCACTACAGGCAGCAGACCAGCTGGCCAGCTTGGAACAGTCAAGATGACAAGGGATTGCCAAGGATCTGACTGTGGGTCAGCCCTCGAGCAACTGCGGCTTCGCCATTTGATGCCACTGCCTGTTCCAGGGAGCTGGGAGTCAGACACACTCCCAAAGCTCTAATACCTTTTTGCCAAACGGTTCGCTTCGATGCTTTCAGTGCTGTAAGGCCAGGAGTCTGTGTTTCGTCATGTCTATCATTGTTAAAGATTTGCCCTCGTCCCGACAGGCGGATTGGAGTGGCCCGAACCCCTCCTTAAGCCCAATGCTCGGGCACCGTGCACGGCTTATGGACCCGTGCATCCGGGACTGACGAAGCACTCCAAATCCTAAAGGCAACAGAACCACAAGGAGATTCGATGAGCTAGCTTCGTTTTGTCGTGCTGGCCGAGGGAACCAAGTCCGTGCTTCGAAATCGCAACACGGATTCCCTAATTAGAAGTGGACCCGGTGCTTTCGCGGATCGCGGACTTGTTGACTGGCCGAGGCCTTGTGCACAACTTCCAGCATCTCTTGTTCTCCACCAGGCCAGCCAATCCTGGCGGCATCGCACACAAGGATGATCTCGGCCCCTGTTCTCGACCCACTGATGCAAAAAGAAATCAGCACCATCCAGATCGCGCAATTCGCCAGCATGACTCAGACCATTTATTGGAGACGCTTGTGAATGCATTCTTCACATCAAGCCTGGGGCATCTGCAAGCTTCTGGGCGAGTGGCGAAATTGCAACAACATGTTACACTCCTGTTGGACAAAATTTGCCGAGTCTGCCGCTCGACTGACTGCCAGACCTCAACTTCTGACACATTGGAGCTTCCTGCCCGACCCAATTTAAGCGTCGGCGTTAGCCACCGAGCCGTGGACCAGTTCGAAGGGCAGCTCTGCATCAAAGGATATGATGACCTACTTTGCTCTGGGCTCCAGCTTCAGGCTCTGGCAGCGAGGGCTCTGAGGAATCGGCTGACCACACGGTGTCGGACCTGGGCTGGGCATACAGAGCGCGCAGGCCTCTCCGTCATGGTTTCGATCCCGATGCACTCCGATTTGCCAATGCTTCCCCCTTTCCCTTCGAGTCTGCAGTGTAATCTCAAGCAGTTGCGATTGTCAGACTTCCACATGCCAAATTTGACCGGATGTCAACCAAGCTTCCTCGCTCTATGTACTCTCACATCTCACCTCCAGTTCTTCGACAAGCATTGCCAACTGTTGAAGGCTTGGTGGCTAATGATCTTCTGTCTGATGATCTTCTCCGCTCCAGGTCGGTCCGACTCTCGGTCGTGAGCGACAACATCTATAAGCTCGAAGAGCTCTGAGAGCTCTGAGGCTCATCGCAACAAGGAGCTACAGATGCTCGCAAATCGCGAAGGATGTCGTTTTCCTCGACAGTCGATAGGCTGGCAAAGAGTAGGTAAGAATGGAGCTCTGGTACGGGTAGGCTTGGGCCGTTTACGGCATGCTGTTAGTCGTGGCACAAATGAAAAGCTTCTTGCTCCGCATTCGGCCAGTCTCCCAGTCTGTCCTTGTGGTTTTCTTCATCTTGGGTAGTCCGTGGCTGAGGATGTTCAGGACAGGAGGTATCGAACTTTCTCCAGGAAGACTCTTTGAGAGCGCTGAGTAGCATGCCGTTGTTTTGCTCACTTTCCCGCAGCGGCCTGATAATTTTTCTACAGGTGTTTGTGATCGCAAAAGCGGCTCATCCGTCGTCCTCTCTGCTCCAAGGCCCGAAGCTCCCAAGCCGGAGCTGAATTCACATGATCGTTGGCTTTCGCACAAACACAACAAAAGGCGGCGCAGTTTTCGAATCTCCGAATCTCCCTGGCTGCCTTTCTGAGCATCGCATCTGCAAGTCTAGGATTTCTGGTTACAGCGGCGAACGTGAATACCCTTGGCACGTCGAAGGGTGCTATCTTCAATCTCCATAAGCCATTTCTGAGCCTCCGTCAGTCCTGGCGGATCTGGCCTCCAGCACGCAGCCACCAAGCTCGGGCTATGCAAAACTGACACAAGCTGAAGCCAAGACGGAGGAGGTCGTATGGACAAGCGGAAGAATCCGGGAAGCACCTCAGCAGGCGATCATGAGCGCTCATGTCGAAACGCAAGGTTTAGAGATCATGCCCCATGCGACTCTTCTAAGTTGTCGACAGGAGCTGCGTCTGGCGGATCCCAACTGAGATCCGAAGATTGCTTGAAGGATTACAGACTAGAAGCGTCATGTAGACAGGAGCTCAGCTTAGCCCACCGCAGGGTGAAGGAGGCATCATCTTGCTCCTCCATGTCTCTGCGGCACCAGCCGAACTGCGTCAGCCTTTGATTGAATCTTTGATCTCGCTTGGATCTGTCTGCTGAAGCAGCTGAGACGAGGGCAGCGGAACGGCTGCCTCATGCAGCAGCATGCCGTCGACGGACTGTGCCTCAGGTGCCATCCAGGCATCTGAGTTAGCTAGGTGCATGTCCGTCAGATCGCAATCCGGGGCCTAACCTGAAGAAATTGCGTTCACCCGTTCGGGCCCCAGATGTGCACGCACTGTAAAAGTCGCTTTGTCACACGCCCTGCTGGGGTGCCGTCAATGGCGTCCACAATTTCGTTGTCCTGCAAAGTCCAAGACGCTCGACGTAGTTTAGGTTTCTAGGACTTCATGATGGCACGGACATACCACAGTGCAACAAATGAAAAGGCTGGCTCACTCAGATGCTCCGAAACAACCCTTCCTCTGTCGACACCACTGCCACACAGCACTGCTCACAAAGCTTCGCGAACGTCTCGCGCACGTCAGCCTCGGCGGGTAGGAAAGCAGCTGCGTGATGTGCAGGCGTGTGCAAACATGACATCTGCAGGCCGAAGGTATCGTGCCTTGGCCTCTATTCGGAGGAGCTCCAAGTACAGCGCCTCTGGCATACGCATTGCATTGCACCAGTCCAGCTCACGGAAACAGACTGCCTCGTCGTCCGGCTCAAACTGTAGCGTCGATGTTTTCCATACCTTTGCCTTTGCAGGCTGCAATTCCGCATCAGAACTGAACCTCCAACAAAAGCGACATCCTGATCGCATGCCTCGGCTGGCACCTCCTTGTAGTCGCTCACCAAACCTTGCACATCCTGGACGGAAGGCCAACCAGCACGAATGAACTGCTGTCAGAATAAAACCAAAGGCCAAAGGTCCTCATTCCGCTCGATCGAGTCGTTCGATGCACCACTACACTCCTGAGGACTTGCAATTCGCGTGTCGGCTTAGTGGCTTAGTGCAGCTCGCACTTGAGTCGGAGGGCCTCCAAGTCCTCAAAGCGCCATTCCCCCAAGGCCAGAACATGAGGAGCAAAGCCGTTGTCACCTGCATGCTGGTCCGGCATGCGTAGTTCACAAGCTTGACCACTTCTCGAAATAGCAGCAGTCGCAAGAGCCTTTGGGGCACTCAGGGGAGCATGGCCGAAGCAGATGTACAGGGATGCCGACTTGAGGCAGTGCCTCAGCACGACAGAGGTGAGAGAGCAACATCAGGTGTCTCCACACCGCACGGACTCTCAGCTTGCTGCTACAACCCCTTCCACGTGGTACATGCTGTTGCCCTGGAAGACTTTGCAGCCGACAAGCCGGATGCAGAACCTGACTGTATCAGAGGTGATGGCAGAACATTCCCACATCTCCGTTGCACATTTCGAGACCTTTGCAATGGGAAAGATTGGCGCAGAAGTTTGACAGGCGGGAGGAAGCGGATTTGTGCCGATGGTGCCATGATGCTGCTATGCGCTCAGAATGGATGTCCCGCCTGTCTGATATGGTTTTGATGTGTTGCGATCCTGCCGTTGCCCTTTCTAGCATGCACTTTGAGTTTGTTGAGGGGCTGGCATGTCAGGCAGACGGCCGCTGAGATCATCGGAGACTATCAATAAGAAATGCGTATGCGCACAGGCACTGAGTGTGCGGCTTGAGGTAGTCCTGCAGGCCGCATGCTTTGAGCAGTAAGCCAAGCCAGAATTGTGTAGCCAGCATTCCAATTATTCCTATTGCTAAAATCTCCTGCATGGCCAGAAAACCTCCGGCCACCAGAAGCAAGCGCGCCAGACTGCCCATAGTCACTAAGGGTTCTGCTTGCACCTCAGACGAGCAGGAACGCAAGCTGTTAGCAGCAGCTGTCGTGTGCCAAGATATCTGAAGTGCCGGCCACGTATTCACCACCATTGGCAACATCCTTCGTGGAGCCCTGTAAAATACCGGTGGCAGCCTGCATTCAGCGCAGCGACAAGCTGTAGAGAAAGGGTCCCTCAAAAGCTGAGCAGCCGGCTGACCGGCAAAATAGCCAGAAAGGCTCCGTCAGAACACGAAGGCTGACATCTTGCCGTTCGCGATATACGTGCACAGAAAACTTCTCCTCTTCTTCAACGACCTGCCCAGAGATCCCAGGCAGCAAGAGAAGCGCCGAAATCAGCTGACTTGTCGGCCTGCAAAAGCATCGGTGCCAGCTCCTTTGGCATGGCACTGCGGAACGCCGCGTCCCGGAGAAGCTTCTGCGGCACCTCGCCAGTGCTGGGCTGCTGTGCTTCCCATTCCTTTCGTGCGCTCGGCCGTAAACACAACACGCGTTTGGTAGGTTGCTCATCTGAGTTCCATGATTCACTTTGGGGGAACAACAGTCTCAAAAAATTGACGAAGTAAACAGAAGGCGAAAAAGGGAAATGATATTCATAGATTATCAGGCCCACACTGGAACAGAAACTGTATTGCTAGTTCGAACTTTACGGATTCCATGAAGTTGTATCTTGCCGGCAATTACGAATTTTCTGAGCTTCTTTGGAAATCTGATGCCCACAACCGCCCTGCCCGCCGGCCGCCTTCAGCGTGATTAGTTCGCTCGGCGTCAAATGTTGGAGCTCCTGCCATCGCTCGGCGCTGGCCTGTGCAGGCAACAGCCCGAAGCGATGAGTGGCCTTGAAAGATCCTGAGGCAGAGACCAAGCAGGGAGTAGGCTCCGATCTCGCCACCTCCTCCGACCATCGGCTTAGGATCTTCGCCTCGGTGCTCGCAGATCTTCGCGCTTCATCTCGCTTCTCCTAGGTCCTATCTGTCAGTCTATCACTGCCAAGGCGAGCACCGCAGCCTGGCGTATGTGCTGCGGCCTGGGCCTTTGCATCACATTGGGAGCACAACAAGGCCTTTGCACAAAGGGACTCTTGCCTACAGCGGCCTGAGTCCGAGAAGTTAGAGAGTCCTCTTGCCGAGCTTTGTCCCGGAGATACGTTCAGTACATCAATCAATTCTTCTTGGTGCCTTCAACTCCCGGTCAGACTTCTTCCGCAAATATCTGTTGGAAGAACATGCGAAGGTAGTTGAGAAGGCGTCCCCTCTCTATATCACTATGCAATTCGAGCATCGTCGGCAGGTGACCCTCAGTTTCTGCTGCTCCCTGCTTGTTCTTCGGGAACAGAGGGCCTGAGATGGTTGAGCCATGGTGACTGGGACAGGCACGGCTGATGTAGCTCTGGTGCTGCCGCGAGGGCTGGCAGCCTGCCGACTTCCACGAGGCTCATAAGGCGGATTCGGAAGCGAAATGCGAAAGGTGCCCCGAGTTCCGGGCATTTTGAAGATGCCGTATCTACGCAGCTTCTCGACTCCATCTTGGCCGGCCTTTACAGGGACTGTCCTCGTCCTTCTCCCCCAGACCCCCCCTAGTCCCCAGTCACCGAAACTGGCTTCGTTTCAGCTTCTCCCCCGCCTCGCAAAGGCAGCTGGCCAAGCGAAGGCCCAAGTTCATCGAGGATGATTCGAAGGACATCAGCCTCAAGTGGAACTTCGGTGTTTGCTGGTCTCCGAAGACAGTAAGACAATAGCCTAGTAACAGACGGCGGTCCTTGCGATAAACAAAGCCACGCCTAAGGACACCGCCATGACTTACCGCTTGCACTCAGGGCCCAGGCAAACTCCGGCAGACTTGCACGAGGCTTTCCAATGCTTCTGCCGGAAGGGGAGCCGCATGCTCGCATGCCAAAACGAGAACCTTCCAAAAAGACAGCACGGCTCTCCGACCAAGATCGAGAAGCTTTTGCTGCCTGCACCAGCTGAGCATCCAAGTTCCGCTGACCGCCCTGTAAGGACGGCAGCATAGAGCTTGCCTGCCGCACAATGCTCTGCGATGGTCTGCCATCTTGATCTACAAAGACATCTGCCAGACAGGTGCTTACTTAAAGGCTGCCGGGCGCACCAAAGGCAAGAGGGTCTCCACTGCCAACTGTCGGCGCAAGCACCGCAGTGGCAGAGAGCCCTCTTTGCCTCTCCGGAGCACCGGGTCGGGAAGCGGGACCTGAGGAAAGCCGCCCTTCCGTCGCACATGGCGGCGTCGGCTATCGAGTGGCTGGCCAGGTATCCCAGCAAATTCTTGGCGGCTTCGGACAACTTACCAGAAGCCTCCGTAGGAAAATCCAACGGCACCAAAACGGAAGCTAAAGCTACAAGTATCGAACACGACGGCCTCGATCTCACACGGGTCGCACCCGAAATCCAAGAGCACCCGCACAACCTGAGAACACGCGTGACTTCGACACGAACGGCCTTTTCCATGCGTGTGGAGCTGTGGAGCGTATGGCGTTGGCCTCGAGTCGGCCACTTCGGGCTGCGATCGAAAGAGGAGGTCCAAGAGGTCCCTTGGAGGATCTCGGACCTTTCACGAAAAGCCGCGAGGCGAGGGAACTCTGCGAAAGGACCGCTGCGAGGTGCGAAAAGACTTGTGGTTCTGGCATCCACGCTCCAAGAGAAGCTCCACCATCTCTTGTGAGCACTGGTGCTCTACGGCCTGGTCATAGCAGTCTTCGGGAGCCGCTGCGCGGGTCCGTCATAAGGAGCCGGCCACGGCAAGCACACTGTTGCCTTGAGAGCCAGACAGACCACGTTATCAACTTGAGAGCTCTCAGTCTCACACACACACACACACACAGGCACACACACTCTCACACTGCGAGTGCAGAGCACATGATAAGCACGCAAGAAGCTGCAAACACGCCTTGCCGGTCGCAGGCGGTCAGGTCTGCTCTGTCCTGAGCAGGTGTCTGCGACCAGGCCCACCGTGGCAACGGGCGAGACCCTCGCCATAAGAACCCTCTTCGCAAGGAAGAGGTCGTTGCGCGGCAGCGCATGCTTCATTAACCAATCCTTCACTGGCACGAATGGGACAGAGGCTTGATGGCATGATCCTATGCTCAAGTCCTGTGTGAGGACCATGGGGGATGGTAGGTTCGCCCGCTTGGGCAAAGGCACCTGCTGGCAGAATGAATTTGGTCAGCAAGCACCGGTAGCAAAGACTGAAGCAGCAAGTCAGCACGAGACATCTCACCATGTCCATCCTGAGGCACCCGCGCAAGCTGGAAGCACCTCTGGCAGAGTGAGCGTCGTCACTCTTTCCTGGCAGGACTTTGTAAGATCATTCCTATGGCTGATAGCCCAGCTACATCTCACAAAGCATGAGAGCTTCCAAGGTGCAGGGTTGCACGTTTACAATTACTGAGAGTGCGCGAGGCGCTTCGAATATGGGAAGTGAAAGCTTAGGTATCTGCATGTTTTCAACGTCTGTGACGTGAAGCCTGAGCCTGAGTCCCAAAACTGTCCCAAATGCAGCAAACTACCAGGTGATTGCCTTTTCCATCCGTTTCCGCTCTGAATTGTGGCGTGGATGATCTGGTAGCTCAGAGCCGGTGTCGCGTAAGTCATTGTAGGCCGCAGAAGGTCAGCCTGCTACTTGTAAGTGGGCTCGAGGCGTCGATCCGAGGAGCTGACGAGGGCTCTTCTCACCACGTTGTATCAAGACGATTGCCGATTGTCATTACAGCCTTGCAAACGATTGCAGATGCCAGAGCACGTGCTCCGTCTCTGTCTTTGAGCAGGTTTCAAGTCGCAACTGTGTCAGATGCCGCCAGGCACAGCCGCAGCACGGCCGCACGGCCAGGGCATCAGAGCTCGCAGAGCTCGAGTCCGAGCAGCGATGCGGACGCTTGCGGCTTGCGAAGCTCCGCCGAGTCGACCGAGTCCGTTAGCCTTCAGCATCTCCGAATCAACTTGTGTCCCAAGCATCGTCCATGGCGAGCACGACGGAGGCAGAACGGTTCAAAGCCAGGTCTGGTCCTTCTGCATCACCCTGGAGCTCTCGGAGCCTCCGAAGGGTCGGTGCCAGGCCTCTCGCGGAGCTTACATGACATACAGGATGCCGGCTGTGTGGGACCCCGAAAACCTATTTTGCCTAGGCACTCTTGAAGGATAGCATTAGGAGCAAATCTCCACTCTGCCCAGGTCGAATGGACTCCTGCCAGCCACTCACCTCACGTAGAGCACCTTGGCTTCGGCTGCAGAGAACCAGTGGACGGCCCTGGCTTAGGCCTCCCAGGCCCAGGCCCTGACTTGCAGGTGGTGGTCTGGTGGTGGTTTGGTGGTGCTGGTGCTGGTGGTTTAGGTCTTCGGCTCGGGCTTCCTAATTTATTTAGAGTTCAAGCTACTTCCGAGACCAAGGTGCACAACCATTCCTGCTCGTCATGTTCACCCTTGCCCGACAGGATCTCATCTGCCTGGAGCGCCAGGAAGAGGAGCCGGAGGCCCTGCACAGCGAAAGAGCCGCTGTGGAGCTTCACCACCTGCGTCTGCAGATCCTCCAAAGCCGCTCTCGCCGGAGCAAACCCAGACCAGCCTCGAGCAATTACTTCTGAGTGGCTAGCTGCCCTACCGTACTAGCCAGTACAAGTAGTTACCAGCACCAGCTCCCACAACTTCCCCAAAAAGTCCGAAATCCGCAGCTGCCGTCGTCAACCGCCAAGCCTTGAGCTTCAAGCCTGGGCCTTTCGAAGAAAAGATCTCCAAGCCCAGCCATTAACCTACAGCCAGCTCAAACCCAGTTGAGATATGGTGAGACTAGGACATACTAGGACTATGTTGAAGACGAGTTTCGTGCACAGAGCGCACCCAACACGGCATGCGACAGCTCCTTTTCGAGCTCCACTTCTGAGGCAGAAGGTTCCCTGCCACAGCTTCTTGGATCTCCGTTCGTGACCTCGTGTCGGCAGCGGTCGCACTCGCACACGAATCCCTTCAAATACCAGAGCATGCGTCTGCGGAGCGCCAGGGGCGCCAAGCTCACCTGGAGTTTCATGTAAGAGACGCCCAAGACATCACCTGCTTTTATGGGACGACAAGCACGAAAGTGGCCCTCGAAGATCCCGTCTGCTTCCACCGAGGAATAAACGACATTAGGAATACAAGAGTGGTTGATCATCGTCCCCCACTTCAGCAAGCCACTGGTACTCCCCGCAGCTTTGCAAGGGTGGCTGTTGACGCAGAAAAGTCTCAACAGCCGAGACAGTGAGGAAGTATCCAAGTCCTCCAGCCATGGAAGATCCTGGCTGATCAGCCATTCTGCAACTTTGTTCGTTGACTGCATCGTTTCAGAAGATGGGTGCATCGAGTCTTGCATTGCCAGCACTTCTTGCTGGACCTCGATCTCTGAGTTTAAGAACTCGAACAGGAGCTTCATGTGCTCGTTATCAAAGATCACAGCACGTGGAAAACCTGGCTCCCCTTGGATCTCCACCGTCCCAACTTCGGCCGGAACGGGCCGGAACATGCCCAGCGGTGGAAGCTCTGCGGGCCCACGCAGCAGGAACTCCTCACGAAGAACCAAACTGCCAGGCTCAAAGTCGGCAGCCGCCAAAAGCCGCTCGTCAAACTCGTCTTTCCTCTCCAGGAACAGCCCAGCTGGTGCCGGCCCACGTGGCGCAGCGGGCGGAAGTATCATGGCCGGCCCGCGATTCGTGCTTGCCTCGACTCGTCCAAAACCGACCCATCATGATTCATGACACAAGAAGACGACAAACCAGATACCATGAGTACCAGTATGCAAAGGGGTTCGTTGGCGGCAGCCACTTATCTGGGTTCATCAACTTGTCCTGTCACCTACCTTGAGAATTGTGCTGGTTGCGATTCGCGAGTGCTACAGCAAGGATGTATCCAGCCCTTCAGTCGTTAATGAAGATCCTGTGCTTGTCCCATCGAATAAATAAGGAAAACGAGCTGTATGTTGAAACACATTGTGCTTTTCGCTGGCTGGCCTTGGGCACAGAAAGGCGGATGCCTCCGTGGAGCATCTTCACCTGCACCTCCTGCAAGACATGATACTGCCGCTCTGAATTCACATGTTGCTAGGTCCACATTGTCACCTCCCACTCCCGCCTCCTGCTCGTCTTCCACCAGTTCAGCTTCGCGCCAGTCCTGGGAAAGTGCTGGTTGCAAGTCACCTTCACCCTCGCAAACATGGGGGCCGCACATCGTCTTCCTCTTCTTCTTCGCTTGGCTCCGGCTTTCTGCTGCGCCCAGTCAAGAACTGGCGAAAGGCGCGAAATGCTGGACGCCGCGACTGTCAATACTATCACATCACGGGGTGTCACAGAAGTCCTCGTACAAGTGCGCCGCACTGGAGTAGGCATCAGAGTTCTCCTTAGCCATGTTGCTGTTGTTGGCATCATTTGGACCTTTCCTGGCACCACGTAGCGAGCCTCGTCCAGCTGGCTGCGCGACTCGACAGGCACGTTGACCAACAAGCGCCCCAGCTTGCCCCTCTTCAAGGGAGCTGCCTCAAACATGCGTCAGCTCACCGGTTCCAGTGCTATGGTGCTTAGCCCCACACCAGATAGAGCCATTGAGCGAGTCGTGTGAGGAGTTGCAATAGAGCTGGCAGGTCAGACCGTCTGCAAAGGATTCGACAACTCATCAGCTGCCGCATCTTGCCTTGGCCGCCAGAGGAGGACTCCTGGCTCTCGAGACTTGGCAGCCTACCCTCGAGACGCTGCAACCGTCGGCTCAGGATTGAAAGCAGGGAATGAAGAGTGCGGAAAACAGCATGAAGCAAGCAGGTGGCTTGACGTCTGGTTGGAGGAAGAGTAATGTGAAGAATAGTTCGGGCAAGGGCGAAGGCGTGCAGAAAACTGTCGAGGTTGCAGCGACGCGTCTCATCTAGCTTTTCCTGCAGCTCAGCCCAGCTAGCATGCTTCGCAACCAAAGCAGGATCAGCCTGTAAGTGGCAGCAGATACGAAGAAGAAGCAGGGGAACTGACTTCTCCGTGCACGGATCTGCCTGGACTCCCGGAGATCCCGCAAGGGACGAGAACTGCACCAGGTCGAAGCTGCCACGAGCCGCATGAACAGCAGTCGCGACGGCACTACCTCGGAAATTCAGATCTGGAGAGCCTTAGGGCAGGGCCTACCTCCCACATCCCACCCTCGTCTAGAAAGGCTGCAATGAGCAATCCAGGCTCCCGTGCAAAGTCCAGCATCCAAGAACAGTATTCTAGCCTCGTGCTGACACATGCGTAACTTCACAAGTCTAAAGCCGTCGCACTGCCTGCTGCGACCGGTTGCAAAGTCCAAGTATGCGCTTCGCAGCAACCTTGAGACTTGAGAGCAATGCTTTGCCGGCTTTGAATGCAGATTGCCCCAAATTGCAGATGAAGCTGCCGCGCAGGATTCCGGATCCTTGAGCTTTTGAATGTCCTGTTGGCACGTCTCAGCCTTGCGGCAGACAGAGTTCCATGGGGTGATCGTGGGCAGTGTCAAAGTGATGCGCTTCTCATGCGCCGATGCCAGAGATTGGGCTCGGCACTGTGACTTGTCCAAGATCGGGTGCCTGCAACCCGTCAACATAGGTGCATCCTCCATGCGCAGAAACTGGCCTGTATGCACGTCTCGCAGAGCAGGAAAGCAGTGCGGGGACAGAAGTATGCCACCACGCGGCTCGACTCCTGCCAGACAGTTCATGCTGCAAACCAAAACGATACATGTACCTCAAACCTTCTTCATTGTCTCTGTCATGGCTCCTGCGACTTGCCTCCCCTGCAGCCTCCAGGCCTGTTACAGCGCGACGCTGCTAGGTTCACAAGTGCAATCACTTCGGATGCACTGAGAAGCTGTCATGCAGTCATCTGAGGAGCAGTGTACGCGCTCGCCAAACAGCGTACCCCGCAAGCCATGTGGAAAGCACACTCGGTGCAATCCTGGCGCTTCAGGACTAACGCCTACCCCGTCCCTCGTGACAATGTCTTGCCGTGTGTCTCCGCCTTCTGGGTAGCATGCGGGCCTGCACAACTCAAGGGCCTGCGGACAGGCTCGCAGTCATCTGCTCAGCTCAGCCCCCGGAAACATGATGGCCTATCGGCCTATCGGCACGCAGAAATGGTCAACATCGGTGGACACACGCCCAACTACAGCACGTCGGCTCAAGCGATAAAATATACTGGAGGGCTGTCGGCCAACGCCTCCGTTCTGGTCGGCTTCAGCTTTGGGGAGGTCACTTCCAGCTCTTGGTCAGGAACTTCTTCCATCGGAACCTGAGACACGAGACGTGCAGTCCACTCGCTACTGAGCGATTTCTCCTGGAGGCAAGGCACGTGCACGCGAACCTTTGAGTTCGGCAGGGTCTCCACAACCACTGCGTTTAGCCACTTGCCAGGGCCATGCTGCAGTTTGCACTGAGCCTTCAGGACTCAAGACTCGAGACTGACGCGCACTCACGAGTTTGAGCGCTTCCGAATGAGCTGAGGAGAAGGCCCCCAGGCGCAAGGACGCTTCGGCCACTGCCAGAGCCTGGCCTCAGCAAACGTGTGCTGAATCGTATTTCAAAGACAAGGGCACCTTGAGGGCGGAACCACTTGCATCCAGGTCCTGGTGCTGCCGCAGTGGTTCTAACTGGTATGGCCTCGGCGCTGTCTGCACCCATCTCAGCACACGGGTCTGGGTTGACTTGCGTCCTTTTGTGCACGTCACTTGCCTCGCTTTTGTTGGCAATGCTGGCAAACCCTCGCTTCTCGGCAGGTTTCTGGTCTAGGGCTTCAGGAGAGTTTGTGTGAGGGTCAGGGCTTATAGGGGTTCTTCGTTCAGGGTTTAGGGCTCAGAGATTTTGGGTAGGGTTTGGGCGGTTTGGGCTCTATAGGTCACTTGAAGATTTCGGATCTTGTTGGGTGTAGGGCTTGCTGGGTTTAGTTTCGGGTTCAGGGTTAAAGACTTGCAGGAATGAGGGATTTGGGATGGGGTGGTTCAAGGATTGAAGAGTTCAGGGGTCTGGGGTTTAGGGGGTTTCAGGCGGGTTTCGGGCTTCGGATCGACGGGGGGGTTGAGGGCTTTCTGGCTTGGTGTGCCGTCTTGGATCTCGGGAGCTTGGGTCCAAAGGCTACGGGCTTTCTTTTGTTAGTTTAAGCTTAAGCAGTGAGCTTTCGGGTTCTGGGCTCCGCAGGTTCCAGGGATGTTGAGGGTTTTAGGTGTTGGGAGGGTTTCGGGTGTTCAGGGCGGTGTGAGGTTTCGGGATTCAGAGCAGGATTCAGGGTCTGGGTTTAGCATGAAGGATTGTCGAGGTTTAGAAACCTTTGGTCTGGGGTGCGTGAATGTCAAGGCCCGGACAGCAAAGAACGCCGCTTTGCTGCCCGACTTGCGCACTTGAACTCGCTTGTTTCGACAAACAAGGGAGAACGGACAAGCGACACTACAAAATACTACAAAAGACTTCCTCCCCACTCTACATGCATTGTGAAGCTCGCACAATCATTAACTCTGTAAGTACGGCAGTTGCTGTTTTGCATGAGATGCACCCTCTGTGTCCTCAGTTCCCTGCCGACAGCACAGCTCACACATGAAGAATTCAGCAGCTTCGCAGCCAAAGCCGCAAATTTTGTCGCCTGTCGCTTGGGCATTACAAGTTCACGGCGATCGGCACGGCACTTGCATCCACACCTCTGGCTGCGGGTCCTGAAAGGAAGGCTGCCATGGCCTGGCAATGGAAAGCAATCCGCGCACACGTTTGCCCAAGCTTTCGATCAATCATCACAGGGAGCACTGCGTGATCCTGGGGTGCTGCATCTTCGGCGGCCTGTGCTTCAGGGCTCAACGGATGTTGGACTGCAGCTCTAGCCTCTAGCGCCACCAGGCGATCTAACTAAAAGTCTCTGCAGTCCGCGATGCATTGCACAGGTGTGGGGAGCTTTCGTACTTTCTTACCTAACTCTGAACAGAAGAGACAAGCCATGTCCTCGTCCGGTGCCGCGTTGTTTTCTTTCTCGGCCTGGCCGAGTTGCCGGGCAGAGCTCCAGCAGAGGACGCAAGGAGGCTGCGGCTGAGGCCTCTGTGATCCCTTCAAAGGGGCGTTTGCACACGGCCTGATGTCTGGCGCAACCCCCCGACTCCGCTGAACACTTGCACAAGCTGATCATGACTGCTAGTTTGTTCGCATCCATTAAATGCAGGGCTGGCTACACAGTGGCCACCGTGATCTAGCCGCACCAGGCTATGTGGGTGAAGATCCAACCTGAGATGCCCAAATCGCAACGGTGCGGCTGTCCAGCAGCGCTGGCAGTGCTAAGGCGCAAGCACAAAGAGTGGTGGTCCAGTTTGTGCATTTAGATGCTCAGCAATCAATGCCGGTGGATAGATGTATGGCCGCCTCGGCACCCAGCACCAACAGCCAAACCGTTCTCGATGCATATGCATAGGCCCTACGCACGAAATCGCAACAGGTCACTTCGTTGAGACACGGGCAGGGAGCCGCCGCACTGAATGCGCAGATTTCCCGAAGGAAGCACCTACATCTGACCCATGTGGAGTCTGCACATGTGCAATCCACGAGTCTCTCTTGAGGCCGATGTAGAAAAATGTTTGTGAATTTGATATCCCCCACAAGTTGCTATTTCCGTGCCTATGTACCTTCCAGCGCAAAGATTCTTTTGACACCTTGTTTTCTGACACAGGTTTCGATAGAATCTAGGAGTTCTGATTTTAAAGGCCTTGGATTGGCTTGGCTTACAAACAAAGGTCGGCCACAAGTGGAGCAGCACGAATGAAACTTTAGCCTATCTGCGCAGCAAGTGTGCTCGGCTCCAGCAATAAACGCACTGGTAAGTAGAAGCGGAGTCACCCAAGGTTACAAATTCACTGCCTCCACCACAACGCCAACCTGGCGAGTCGCGCATCAGTGGGTCAAAGCAGCTTCACGTCTCTTCACAGAACCCAGGCCTTACCCAGCGTGGCTTCCATTTGGGGCACCCAGCCACCCTGGCCCAAACAAAGGCGCATGGCCTTGGAGAGGCCTCAGCAAGAGCTCGAAGGCGGAAGAGTCGGACTGAAGCCCTGCCCTGGGCCACGGCTGCTTATGAGCCTCACCTCCGAGCCGGCTGTGATTGCGGACCTCACCATCGCAAGGGATGTGAGACTGTCCCGGAGTGCAGGAGTCCACTGTCCACCGTCAAGGCCAGGACCCGCCAGGACCCTTCGGCGGAGCCATGGTTCTCACACTGATAGGCCGATTCCAGACTTGTGTGATGTTCACGAGGCAAGGGACAAGAAAGTGAGGCTGCAGTTTGGGGTTGGGTGGGGGCCTTGCCCTCACGACCTGGCGAAGTGGCCATCTTCTTGCAGGGTGGCAGAACCTGTGTGCCAAGCTGATCTAGGCTGGAGTGGGAAGTCATGCGAAGTCACACCTATCGATTCATGGCATCATGGGGGTTCAGCTGATGGGCCGCAGCATAGGCAGGGACAACGTTCAATGCTCTGATGCTGCCGTGTGTGCAGATTGTCTGTCTTTTGACGCTCCAGCTCTCTCCCCAAGCTCTCAGAGGAGGAGGCCGAAACGTTCGTTGGACCTCATCAAGCTAGGAAGCACTATGCTCACCGTTGAACCTCTGCCGCCGTCCACACTTTTCCGAAGTAGGATCGCGACAGGGATCTGCTTGCATGTATTTCCGGAACTCTTCCGCCAATATCCGCAGATCCTTTCGCAGCCGGAGGTTGTCCTGGCATGCAGTTTGTTATTGGATGGTTGGCTTGGTCCAAGAGGTTGTGGGAGCGAGTCAAACTAGTGCAGAGAGCGCACCATCATCGCTTCTTCAGCCACCTTTTGGAGCTCCTCAAGCTGTGTTCGCTGGCTCCTGGCTGCAGACAATTCGAGTGTGAGGCACCGTCCATCTCTGCAGGTCTCCTTCCCGGGCCCCGCAGAAGTCCAAAGATCTTGGCACCAGCTCCTACCAAGAAGGCAAGTTCTGCAGACCTTCGTGCCAAAGACATCCGTGTCCTGGCTTCTTCATGCTTGCCTTCGGTCCGCAAGCTTGCACCGATTCAAATTCTCGAGAAGCTGAGGTCAAAGCAGGGTTCTCCAACTCGCTCCCATCAGAGCGCACGGTGCGCATCAGGAAAGAGATGAGCTCCTGAGAGGCACGGAGGATGGCTGTCGCTCTGAAAGCGCTGCTTAGAGCTTTACTTAGAAGCTGCGCTAAGCTCTGCGTAGAGGCTAAGCCGATTCTCTGGTACTCCTCTTTCTCTTTGCTGTCGTCGAGAAGGCACTGCCTGCGAAAGAAGAAAAAGTTGCGCCGTCCAATAAACAATATGACTTCAGGCTCTCGCAGCTCGAGTTCAGGCTCAAACTTGCTGGATGCAAGCAGGTCGAGGTCTTGCTCCAGGCCATCATTCTGCTGCTCTAGCTCCTCAATCTTTTGCACCTCGTCTGGACGGATCATCTCACAGGTAGTGGTCCAGACCCTTTCCAAGACCAGCACGTACAGCCACCCAGAGGATCCAACGGCCTCGGGGAAGTTCACGGAAAGCGACATGAAACGACCCAACGACTCAACGTGCACTTGATACCGAGTCAAGTCCCACAGAGCGCCTGGATTGCCGCTGCTTGGGTCGCTTCCGTGGCCGCGGCCTGCGAGACGCAATCCGCGTGTGAAACTTGATGAGACGCCCAGCTACTGGTAGAACTTGCCTCAGTGTGTGCAGTTTCTTTCAGTGCCATTTGTTGCTGCCGCTGCCGTATTTGAGCACGCAGTGATTCTGCCTCAGAGTTCGAAGACCGGAGGAACCGGAGGAGCTGGGCTTCCGGCAGGACATCAACCGGCCTGTTCGGCCTTACGGCGCTGCGCGTCCTCCGCTGCAGTCCGCAGCCCCTGAGGACACTCACGACACTAACCAATCTGTTCTGCAAATTAGACGAAGGTCTCCGAAGGCCTGCCTGCAGCTCCTCTTGCAGAGCGACTAAGCTCCCATCGCCTGATACAACTTCCGCGAGCTGTCTGCTTGTCAAGGCGCTGTGCACCTTCAGGGGCTCGGGAGGACCAACTTGGGCTTGCAGCAAGCCCCGAGACCTGGTCGGGGTTTGTCGGACAGATAAAGTAAGCTGCAATTCAAGCCCACCTCCCACTGCAGGTCTGACGTGTCTTCGTTGGACACTTGCACACCTGCGTCCTGCATTTACGACAAAGCACCAACGGTGCCGATGAGCTTGAGCATGCGATAGCATGCGTGATCGCTTGCAGAAGCTTGTGCTGCCTGCTGAGATTGATTGCTGGCACAGTTGCCGGCATCTTCGTCAAGCTGCTCTTCGGAGACAACTGCAAGCGGCGAATCACACGCTGGTGTTAATCGCTGACACTTAAGATTGCGCCATTGCGCCTTGTCGAAGATTTTCGGAAAATTTAGGGCTTGTAGCATCAAGCACTTGTGGAAGCTCTTCGAGGTGATACTCCATCACCTTGGACATGATGTCCTCCTGCATGGCTCACCGCAAACGAGCCATTGCTAACGAGGGCAGGTTTGGGCAAGTCACTGAGGTCCTGGGCGAACGCCAATCGCTCACGTTGCAGCACGCTCCTGTTCTCCATTCTCTCCTGCCTCCCAAGCGAGCTGTCTCAAAGGCTAGTGGGAAAACTTCAGCTCGCGTCCTCACGAGGAGTGACTCGATGGCAGCGTCACGCTTCCTCTCTGTATGCACGGTAAGCCGCAACAGATCAGCCTATTGTCGTTTTCGACTGTCGTATCGATTGCCGACCCTTCGGAGCCTGACTTGACTGAGCACAGACTCCAAGTGGCATTGAAGCTCGTATGTCAAACCTGACGGCCAAAGCTCTGGGACTCGAAAAACGTGCCACTATGGGACGAGGCGCGGGAGCTTCCTTGCGAGGACTGCAGCCGGCGACCTTTGCTGCAAGGAGGCCGGGTGGGCTCTCTCGCACGCGGAGAAACTTGGGTCCGGTGCCCAAGTCGTCAAGCTTGCCCTCAGAGGCGCGGAGCTGCTCCTCCAAGTCGGACAACCTCGCTCCGCTTTCGGCGGCGAAAATGCATGCGAGTGCGGCTGCGCGGCTCGTGCCTTGGCGAACCCTTTGGCCTCTTGTCCGCGGCTGCCTCAACGAGAGCTTGGGATTCTCACGGACCGGCCGAGGTCAGCCGACGCCTTCTCTGTCAGACGGCCGATCTGCGCCTGTGCTGTCTGGGAGCGCTTTCTGCAGTCTGTTTGCAAGCATGGCTCCTGTTGCTGGTCCACTGCTTCGCGAACCCGCTCTAGCTCCTTTTGCCTCAGCTCGAAGTTCATCCAGCAGCCCTCACTAACCCTTAGCCAATTGTTGAGCCGCTGGCTGCTGCTGTACTTTGAACAACAGCACCTGCAGTGGCTAAACGGTAGAAAGACGGAAAGCGCTGGCGATCAGCTGTCAAATCAACATGTCGGGCTCACCGTCATGCCATCCTGACTGCACCCCACGCTCCATATTATACTCTGTGGGAGGAGGCACGCTGAGTCGGCCTATCTGGTCCACATCCCGTTTCCAAAGATACGCTAAGCCCCACCGCATCTCTCGCCACTCCCCACCGCTTCGCACTCGCTAGTGTAGACGTAGAGGTCTCACCGTGCTGGGTGAACTCAAAATGGGAGGTATTATGTCTTGTTCGGTCATCTGTCTGGGACCCCTGGAAAGCGTGATGCCTTCTGCGAAGTGCCTTCTGCGGCTCTCTGCCTCATGTGTCCGATACTGCGAAGTGTTTAGGGGCCCAAAGAAGCACATAAGCAAATTTGTCCAATGATTTCCGCCTACCCACAGTGCCATCACTGAAACGAGACAAGGGCTTGCGGCTACACGTGTCATCATCGGTTTACGGACTGCGGGGCAGAGACTGCTTGTTATTGGGGTTCGCATATCTTTTCAGGCTGACTCACACTACGCCTGCCGTATCGTGCAATGTCCTCTTCAAGGTTGACCAGCGGCTTTGCTGCCGCAACTGTTATGTGGTTTTCCGAACGTGTTGTCAGGATGAAGAAATCCCGTATGGGGTATGTTGCACAGCAGGAATCAGCTCGAAATACCAATCTGCAGCTGTGTTCTTCATATAGCTGAGGGGTGATGCGATTTGCTTTCACCAACACGCCATTTAAACCGTCGTCGAAAGGAAATACCCTCAGGCCAGAACCAACAACAGGCTAGGGTTCCTAACAACTTAACCGCTAAATCAATGCCCTAGTACGCTGCTCTGTTGCCTCAGCCGCCTGCCTCGGCCCTTCCAAGTTGGGACGTTCTGGAAACCACAGCTTCTCAAGAGTCTACGTGGCGTAAACTTTACGATGACTTCTTCAACACAATGGTTAAGAAAGATGTTTGTCGAAGTATGGAGTCGTGAATTGCTGCACAACCCGTCATGCGACAATCAAAGGTCTTCTCACCACGCATGTTGAGCACATATATTACATCTAAGAACCCTGGCTAAACCTTCGATGCGGCTACCTTCAAAGAAAGACTCACTGACTAACCCAAAGCCTATCAGAATGGGACTGTGCTTAATGCTCCCCCTACTGGCATCCGTACTAGATTGCTTATGCTTATGTCGATTTTTGTCTCCTGAGTGTTTGCTCTGTGCCGCTGTGTGCCCAACCAGGCTAGCGTCAGTGCACGATCCGTTGCTCGCCCGTCACCCTGATCAAACCAGCGAGGATCCAGCGCTGCCCAGCTAGCGTGTGCTGCTGGCATGGGGTGTTTCTCACATGTAGGATATGTTATAGCAGACACTTGCCACATCCCTGCGTGTCCTCTGCTTGCCTTGCACCGCGTTGGGGTTTGGAACCTCGGGCTTGCCAGGTTTTTCCAACGTAGAACAAACAGAGTCCTCCGCACGCATTAGGCTGGAGCCGCTGTCTTCAGGGTCCTCGACATGCAGTCACACCGGAAAAAGCTGGCGACTCTGTTGCTTCAACCAGAGGCTGCCATGGTCATCCTCCTCGCATGCAGTCGCGGCCTAGGCTCGGGCTACAGGGCGTTAACGACCTGCATCACATGGCTCGGCTCGGCTGGGCTCGGGGCTCTTTGTGCCGTCATGGCGTCGTTCCTTGCAGAGGCCAGCTCCTGCTCTGGATCGCAAGACGTGACCAACAATGAGAAGTTGACTGGAGGCCTCCATTGCAGCCTTCAAACGTTCCTGCAATGAATGAACCTCCGACACCAGCTCAACCAGATAAACTGACTTCACAACGCCATCGCAAGTTGCCTCCTCACGGGCTTCCGTAGTTGCAGCATCAGCCTTGAGGATAATCCCAAGAAAGCTCTGTCTCGTCACATCTCGCCGTATACTCACAGTATGCTATGATCTGAGTGCCACCTGCCTCAGGATGAAGAATGCTGTCTTTGGCCTCGGGCATTGCAGTGGAAGTACAGGCCGTGCAAACTGGATTTAAAAGCGAGATTGCTAAGGTCGACACTGCCTGGAAAGCCTGGAAAGATGCTCCATCCTGCTCAGTGGCACGCCAGCGCATCCGTTATCACAGGATTCTCCTCCTCTCCCTGTGACATCTGTCTCAAGGGCCCCTGCTGACAAGCTGGACTTCAAGGATGCCGCTCGCTGGCCAATCGCAGAAACGGCACCTGCGCGTGACAGTCGAAGCGCAACGAGACAGTCGAATGGTAGGGTGGATCACTTGCAGAGAACACGAATGGCGCCTGCTCCGGCCTTTCGCAGAGCATCTACGCCAGTCTGTGCAGATTGTGCTTGAAAGTGTCGAAGCGCCCTTGCGTTCTCCTTCGAACGGGCCAACCGGCGACAGGAAGAGACTCCGTTTTCGTGGCGTCGAGGTCCTGCCTCTCGAAGCTCCTCGGTCTTAATCTTCAGGAACAAGAGCTCCTCAAGTTTTGCGTCCGCCTCTTCTGTCTGTCTGTCTGCATTGCGGCCACCCTCCTGCTGTAGGCGGACAAATTCCTCCGAGCTCAGCCCTGCTGCCATCAGGCCACCAGTCAGGCGCCTGGGGCATAGTGTCTCACGTAAGCTCGAGCTTCGTGCTGCTTCCCACTGGGGCCAGCACCCTGCTCTGGCCGGGGCGATCAACTCTAGGCCACCGGAGTATCATCGTGGACAGGCTTGAGCCGCGAAATCCCGGAATGATTACACTTGAGAACTGAGAACCTGCCCCTCACGCAGACAGTCACCAGAGGCGGCACTCTGATGAAACTTGTGCGGTTCGATCAGCCCAGATGCTCGTGAAGTCTGGGCTCTTAGCAGATTTGCACAATCTCTGAAGCTGATCCATAAGTGCGTAACTTTTTCCACTTGGCAAACTCTCAAGCGGCAGCTGAAGTGTTGGCTCCCTTCTAGGCTCTGTACTGAGGAAGGAAGCACTGGATCCACTAGTCCAGCGTGTTCACCCATTGCGATCCGTCCTGCCGAGGCAGTCTGTGCAGCTGAGAGATGCTCCGCCATTGCACACCTCCGGCTCATCGCATTCTTCATCGGAGCTGCTTCTGCGTGACCATGGCTCAACACCGCCTGATCCGCATGCCGACGCGGCAAGCTAACAACAGGCAGGCCCCATTCTCTGGCCTTCGTCTGAAGAGTCCATGGACTCCAGTTCATCCAGGTCCTTGCCATGGTCAGGTGTGCGGCCAGCATCCAGCACTCGACAACACGTGACGGTAAGACCGTTTCTTCCGGACCCAGGACTGAATCCTTGGTACATCTTTCGTTCGGAGGTACCCCTCTCAATACTTGCCCATAAGCCACTGCATGAGGCGTTGCTGCCGTGGTTCATGGAGCTGCACCGCAGCCGCTGGCGCATGTTGGAGATCACTGAGCCTCAGAGAAAAGCAGCTCTCTTGAGCTCTTCGACCTGGCCCAAGGGGCCGACACAGGCTGCCTAAACAAGTCTATGAGGGGCCAAGCGACGCATAGACGTCCCACACAAAATCCTCTCTCGGACTCGGAGGTCTGGGCCTGGGCTACTCTTTGAGGTCAAGGGACTTCCTTCGACATCCACCTCCACCTCGGGCCCTCGCTCAGCAACGAGCTCCATGCCATTCACCGTGAATCCAGAAGTTGCTGACACTGCCTTGAGGAGATCAGCAAATATCGGCAAGTCTCGCTGCTGTGCAGAGAGCGTTCCACCGGGCTCACCACCGGCATCGGGCAGTTTTCGGAACGGTCCACGTCAATGAGCTGCACGGTTTCGCCGGCATACCTTCTTGGCACACCAGTGAGCCCAAGTGTGCTGCTGCATCTGAGTTCTTCTGAGCCCCAGGCCCGCCGATCAGACGACGGGATGCCTGCACGCATTGTGGGCATCGACCATGGTCGATAGCCATTAGCAATGGCCATGCGCGCTACCTCTCTAAGTTCCAGCATTGGCTCGAGCTGTTGCGACATGCCTCCTGAAACGCCGGCTTCGCAACTCGCGCTTTGGATGGAGGGAAGGGATGTCCTTGAGGCATCGCTGGCCAGGCCGCGTTTGCGGCTGCATGGAACCACGCTATAGGAAGGCCGTATTCCTCCAACGCAACACTGCACAGCAGCTTCAAGTGGCTTGAACTGAACTCCGGAAGATGACTCCTCATCGGGCCACTGTCGGGACCTGAAAAGGCTTCACCGGAAGAATCACGAAAGGCAAAAGCGTCACGATCTTCACGCGGCTTTCGGAGCTGACACTGCGTGCCCAGCCCAACCGTGTCGACCAGCTTTAGAGCTGCAGCCGTGGCATCGGGTCTTTTTCCTGAAACTGCAGGATGGCAGCCACATGCTTTCATTATCCTCGATGCTGACGTTCTCACTAGGCACTCATGAATGTCGTCTTGAGAAAGGTGCAATTCCTTCAGACTTCTTTCCAGTGCTCAGGCTCCCAGGGAGCGGCTTTTGTCACTCTCACCATACGGATCTTCGTGTCTCAGCAGCAGACGCTTGTCAGAATCTTTTCGTGGCTCCTGCCGCGTGAACCATCTCCATCATCGTAAAGTACTTGCCTGGATTACGAAGCCACATATCAGAAGGTGTCCTCAAGAAGGATTTCCGGGAGCGGATCCTCATCGAGACGCCTGTGAGTCCAAATGAGCGTGCATCTCTGTGTGTGTGTTGACAAATTACTTGTGCCGGAGGCCTCTTCACCCGCACCAGCACACGTCTCTCCTTGCAGGTCCGTGCTCTCTCAAGCATGCGCATCGAAGTACATCGTAGTTTCAACTAGGGCCGCTGCATCCATCTCAGCCACCAAGCGCACGAAAGCGCAATGTGCTCAGCACGGCACGCGAATAGGGAAGCTGCAATGTTTACAATGGGAGCGCTGCACTGGGCTGAAGTGAAGGGTGTCATTTCCTGTTCCGAGGAGACTGACATCTGTACCAACCGACACTTGAGTACCGTAAACTGGAATTTTTTGGTTGCCGAAGGCACGATAAGCTTGCATGTTCGGGCCGCCACAAAGCCACACACATTGTATAGACATAATGTGTGTAGGTATTTATCTAACTTTATTGATATGTACGTAGCTTATACATACATAGGTACATACATGTGTAGATAGAAAGATATATATAGAATATAATATAATATAATATAAAAATATAAAATATAATAATATAATATAATATAATATAATATAATATAATATAATATAATATAATATAATATAATATAATATAATATAATATAATATAATATAATATAAATATAAATATAAATATAAATATAAATATAATATAAATATCATATAATATAATATAATATGATATAATATAACATAACATAACATAACATAATATAACATAATAATATATAATAAAATATAATATATAATAATATAATATAATATAATATAATATAATATAATATAATATAATATAATATAATATAATATAATATAACAAATATAATATAATATAATATAATATAAATATATATATATATATATATATATATATCCATATCCATACAAACACGCGCTCGTACACTCGGTAACACTGCGGTTTTCCTGCTGTTGGTGTTTTTGTGCTGTTGGTGCCCCCCGTCCCTGTGTGTGTGTGTGTGTGAGTGTGTGTGTGTGTGTGTGTGTGTGTCTGCGTGTGTGCGTGTGCGTGTGCGTGTGCGTGTGCGTGTGCGTGTGCGTGTGCGTGTGCGTGTGCGTGTGCGTGTGCGTGTGCGTGTGCGTGTGCGTGTGCGTGTGCGTGTGGGTGTGGGTGTGGGTGTGGGTGTGGGTGTGGGTGTGGGTGTGGGTGTGGGTGTGGGTGTGGGTGTGGGTGTGGGTGTGTGGGTGTGGGTGTGGGTGTGGGTGTGGGTGTGGGTGTGGGTGTGGGTGTGGGGGTGGGTGTGGGTGTGGGTGTGGGTGGGTGTGGGTGTGTGTGGTGTGGGTGTGGGTGTGGGTGTGGGTGGGTGTGGGTGTGGGTGTGGTGTGTGGGTGTGGTGTGTGGGTGTGTGTGTGTGTGTGTGTGTGTGTGTGTGTGTGTTGTGTGTGTGTGTCTGTGTGTGTGTCTGTGTGTGTGTGTGTGTCTGTGTGTGTGTGTGTGTGTGTGTGTCTGTGTGTGTGTGTGTCTGTGTGTGTGTGGTGTCTGTGTGTGTGTGTGTGTCTGTGTGTGTGTGTGTGTCTGTGTGTGTGGTGTGTGTGTGTGTGTGTGTGTGTGTGTGTTGTGTCTGTGTGTGTGTGTGTGTGTGTGTGTGTGGTGTGTGTGGTGTGTGTGTGTGTGTGTGTGTGTGTGTGTGTGTGTGTGTGTGTGTGTGTGTGTGTGTGTGTGTGTGTGTGTGTGTGTGTGTGTGTGTGTGTGTGTGTGTGTGTGTGTGTGTGTGTGTGTGTGTGTGTGTGTGTGTGTGTGTGTGTGTGTGTGTGTGTGTGTGTGTGTGTGTGTGTGTGTGTGTGTGTGTGTGTGTGTGTGTGTGTGTGTGTGTGTGTGTGTGTGTGTGTGTGTGTGTGTGTGTGTGTGTGTGTGTGTGTGTGTGTGGGTGTGTGTGTGTGTGTGTGTGTGTGTGTGTGTGTGTGTGTGTGTGTGTGTGTGTGTGTGTGTGTGTGTGTGTGTGTGTGTGTGTGTGTGTGTGTGTGTGTGTGTGTGTGTGTGTGAACCTCCCTAGCACATGGGAGCAGAGGGTCACTCCTACACTGTTTGCAATTTCGCTTTTCAACATAATCCGGCATTGGACATTTACCAAATCAACTGTTGCAGGGGGATCAGGCTTCCAGTGACTGACCTGATCCAACGAAGCTAGGTCACTGGAAGGGAAGTGATTGAGGACGCTCAGTCATGTACCTGCACAAGTTTTCGGCAGCCCCCTGTGGTGCCAAGATTAGTTTGAGGACAGGCCCCCTGTGGTGTCCAGATTAGACAAACAAGTTGTACGGTTGCCGCAATCTGACAAACTTTTGCAACATGAACAACAAGCCTCTCTTTTTCCTTTTGCACTCGTACTCTTGGCCGAATCCATCAGTGTGATCAGCGTGGGTCGTTGAGACTCCAGAGCAACGGCTTTCCGTCATGGCGCCGTGGTGACCCTCCGGGGAGACCGGTGATGAACCGGGTGTTCAGCCTTCGTTCAGATCGTTCAGAATCTCCCGATGCTACTTATATCTCTCTCTCTGATGCTCGCATGTGAGTCTGACATGAGTGCAGGTGCAGTAAGGGACGGCTAATGCAGTAAAGTGCGTCTAGTGAGCAGGTGCTACCTCGCTAGTCTGTCCTCTATTCTACCGCTTCTTTATTCCTCAGGGACCGCAAGGGCATGTGCACCTGACATGAGGGCAGACGTGGTAACAGTGTCTACTGCAAGTGAAACAGTGTTCCCTTCGGGGAATAATCGGCCCTCCTCCTTCTCTCCGTCTACGACCTCTCAAATCAGTCCAGCAGAGACAACCAGGACAGCCTGCACTTTGCTTGTGCAACTGTGTTTGTTTCACCCACTTCGTTGCAGCTATGTGGCCGGACTATTTTACCACGCAGCCACCAGCAACACCATACGCACCAACAACCCGACCGGTGCTCAATCAATTTCACCCGAACACCTGGGTACCGCAGTCACAAGGATACCCAGCAATGATGCCAACTGGCATTGCTGCCACTCAGCAGCACATACTGCCGACGCAACCCACTACGATCCCTGTTGAGCAGACGCACAGCTTCCCCATGATGCCGTGTGGACACACTGCTCCTATACCACAGCATCCGACGGTATACACACAACTCAACACACCACAACCCCAGATGCCCCAACAACCTCCACCCCAGCAATTCATGTCGCAACATCCCCCCACTTTCTTGAACCCTGCTCTTTTACCTGCCCATCCAACAGTTTTTCCCACAAGCCCATCACCTCTGACACCGCATCACCCCCAGCCTGCCACTTACAACATTCCTTTCACCCCACCTGCTCCACAACCCCAACCTGCACCTTGCAACATCCCTTCCACACAACCCGCTCAACAATCCCATATACCGCCGCCAACGACCCTCCAACAAGCTTCACAATCTCACCCCACCAATGTTACCACTACCGATGCCACCCACATTGCCCCGCAGACACCGGCAATCACTCCCCAACCCCAGCCCACAAGCACAGCCAACACCCCCTCTGTCAGCACATTGCCACCCACACAACCACCACCGGCTACGGGATCGGGAGACACTGACCGGCTCGCAGCACGTGCTTCTTCCCACCATCCTCCGTTGCCATGCAGGAGACGGCACTCACCCACACGCAGCAGAACCCGCACCGTGAGCACTAGACGCCGACGACGCACACGCAGCAGAGCACGACCTGCCAGCAGCGGGAGACAGCACCGCCGACGCAGACACCACCGATCCCGCGACACCCGCAGAAGTCGTTCTCGCAGGGACACCAGGCGATCTTCGTCGACACCTCCGCGGAACTCGGTTGTGCTCCGCAGCTATTCTACAGTGCGTGACGTTGATACCAACAAGTGGCATTACAGAGCCACACAGCTACGCCAGAGGCCACCCACCCCACCCAAGGTCCCACAAAGGACATTGGCCGCGCAGGTTCAGCGAATCGCCCTCCGCATCAAGGGCAGCCAAGCAGCACAACAGCAGCCCCCAGCCGGACAGGGCACATCCTCCCGCCAACAGGTTCAGCACAATCCCTCCAGCTCCGTTCGGACACCTGCCCCGACCTACGATGCATCAACAGCCGCTGCCCCATCGTGTCAGCCAACCCTCGAACAACTGGGCAAACAGAGCAGACCACCACAGATTGATGTGGCGCCTTTTTCTGAGCTTTACGAACATGAGAAGCCGACCCCTCACGCCGTCGACATGGAAGAAGCACACAATCTCGCCAAAACCTTGGGCGAGATAGCTGCTGACAGCGATTTCAGGCAGGAGACTTTAGCCGAATTTGCACATGCCGTGCTACAGTCAGGCACGCGATCAGCGTGCAACGAACTTGGGGCAGTGCTGACGCCAATATCGGACGGCGTGCATACTATGTTATTCATTCCTTGGGCTGGAGAGCAGCGCAGAGCGTTCGGCACCCGTGCCACTGACCCACCAGGAGAGACATACATCTACACCGCCGGACACGGCACGAGCATTGCCAGTGCCGCGCGCATTATGCGCGAGGACTTGGTCCGCCCAAGTTCAGTCAGACACTGCTTCGACGACAAGTCCTACCCCCCCATTCCCTCTTGCGTCATATACGGGAATGCGACCCCAGGAGATGTATCGGAAAGCACGGTACATATAGTAACCGATCAATGTACACGGCGGCCGAAGGGCCAACAGGGAGTGATCGTCATCGGGACAATACGGACTAAGTATCAGCATTACAAGATGAAGTATCGGGACATGTATAGAGAGGCCTTCATCGTGGGGCGAAAGGGTGTTGTGCGGACCCCAGAGAAGTGGGGATTCCACTCGGGGCATTTCAGCATCGTTGGATTCGGCCTTATTCAGTGATGTTCTGTATTGCTTTCTTTCTTCTTCCGTGTCTACCTTTCACTCTCGAGTATCCTTTCTCTTCCAGGCCTGAATCCCGTTGCACATAGCTGTATGCAATCAAGCATTTGCTCCGACCCCGCTTTTGAGCCAAAGAAGAGACGATGCAGCTGCATGCTGGATGCATTGCACAAGTAGATGTTTACACTCAAGCCAACTATGTTGTCCATGCACGTGCTATTTGCAGCTTTTGCAGTCACAGGCAATTGTAGTGCCCCATTGTGCAACCATGTACAAGCCGACACAGCCTCAGTGGCATACAACAATGCCA